ACACACACACACACACACACACAGACACACACACACACACACACACACAGACACACACACACACACACACACAGACACACACACACACACACAGACACACACACACACACACACACATGTGGTTCAGTCCTGGTTTTACTCTCTGGTTTTGTCTCTGGGTGAGGGTGGATCCTGCTGGGACTGTTACCATGGCAACACACACACACACACACACACACACACGTACTGATGACGTGTGTGTGTGTGTGTGTGTGTGTTGTGTGTACAAACTCACACACAAAGACAAAGGTGTGGGTTGTGGCTCCTCCCCCTCACCTGGACATGTGTGACAGGTTCGACACACAGGTGAGTCACACATGTACACACAGTACACAAAGTACACACAGTACACACACAGTACACACAAGTACACACACAGTACACACAAGTACACACACAGTACACACAGTACACACACACACAGTACACACACAGTACACACACACACACAGTACACACACAGTACACACACACAGTACACACACACAGTACACACACAGTACACACAGTACACACACACACACAGTACACACACACAAGTACACACACAGTACACACACACACACAGTACACACACACACACAGTACACACACACACAAGTACACACACAGTACACACACACAGTACACACAAGTACACACACACACACAGTAGTACACACAAGTACACACACAGTACACACACAGTACACACAAGTACACACACAATACACACAGTACACACACAGTACACACAGTACACACAAGTACACACACAGTACACACACAGTACACACACACAGTACACACACAGTACACACACAGTACACACACACACACACACAGTACACACACACACACAGTACACACACACACACAGTACACACACAGTACACACACACACACAGTACACACACACACAGTACACACACACACACAGTACACACACAGTACACACACAGTACACACAGTACACACAGTACACACACAGTACACACAGTACACACACACACACAGTACACACACAGTACACACACACACACACAGTACACACAAGTACACACACAGTACACACAGTACACACACAGTACACACACAGTACACACACAGTACACACACACAGTACACACACACACAGTACACACACACACACACAGTACACACACAGTACACACACACACACAGTACACACAAGTACACACACAGTACACACACAGTACACACACACACACACACAGTACACACAAGTACACACACAGTACACACAGTACACACACAGTACACACAGTACACACAAGTACACACACAGTACACACACAGTACACACAGTACACACAGTACACACACGTACACACACAGTACACACAAGTACACACACAGTACACACAGTACACACACAGTACACACAAGTACACACACACACACAGTACACACACACAGTACACACAAGTACACACACAGTACACACACACACACACACAGTACACACAAGTACACACACAGTACACACACACAGTACACACAAGTACACACACAGTACAAGTACAGGCCTGTTTAAAGTACTGCATTCACTTCCACAAACACACGACTTGAACTCCAACTGAGGTAATGACAGGGCCGCACCTGCCTGACACACACACACACACACAGACACACACACACACACACACACACACACACACACACACGTGTGTACAGGACTAGTGAGTGTGGGAACCACTGTCCAGGATGAAACATCAAGCTCCTTGAGAACATCAAGAACAAGTCTGTGACAGATGAGGAGCTCAGAGAAGATCTCAGACACTGGGGTCCAGAGGAAGAGGAGCTGGAGGAACAAACCCCGACATGAACCACCAGAACAGAACTGAAGAGGCTGAGATCAAGAAATCCTCCCAGTGTCTGGAGAGGGTCTGAAGGACACACAGAGGCTCATCCTGGAGCTCAGGAGCAGCACCTGAGAGGCTCAGATCTACAACACCAGACCAGAGCCACGGTGTCGACTGAGCACAGAGGCTCTGAGACTCTCCAGCAGAACTGCAGGTGTCAGATGCTGCAGGGAAACAAACATGGAGCCACAGAACCAAGAGGAGCCACAGTCACAGAAACATCTGAGCAGAGTACGAGCTGGAGACACCAGGATCAACGTGGGAAACACCTCCAAAGGTTGTGAAGAACGACCGAGCCAAGATCCTGTGGGACTTCAGATCCAGACTGACAGGATGGAGATGGACCAACCAGACACAGTGGAGGTGGAGAAGAACAGAGCAGAGCCGTGGAGGAACATCACAACACCAAGAGATGGAAACATCAGGAGAAAAGAACATGAGAAACTAGAGAAACACCAGGGGCTCAAGGAGGAGCTGGAGAAGGTCTGGAAGGTGACGGCATCAGTGGAGCCTGTGGTGATCAGACACTCGGGGCTGTGACCCTCAAACTAGAAGAAACTACAAACATCTCAGTCCAGAAAAGAACAGAACAGGAACAACAAAGACACTGAAACGACCTGGTTTAGTCCTGGTTTAGTCCTGGTTTAGTCCTGGTTTAGTCCTGGTTTTGGGCCTGTGGGCGGAGTCTGTTTCCGTGGTAACACGTCTGAGTCTCAGTGTTTAAACTTTAAAAGGTCAAACTGTGATTTAAAAACATAGAGGAGCTCCACCTGATGACATCACCAGGTGCAACAGAGTCTGGAGCTCTGCAGGTGGAGACTAAACCAGGACTAAACCAGAACTGAACCAGGACTAAACCAGGATTATACCAGGATTAAATGAAAACCAAACCTGGACTAAACCAGGACTAAACCTGGACTAGACCAGGACTAGACCAGGACTAGACCAGGACTAGACCAGGACAGACCAGGACTAGACCAGGACTAGACCAGGACTAGACCAGGGCCAAACCAGGACTAAACCAGGACTAAACCAGGACTAAACCTGGACTAGACCAGGACTAGGACTAGACCAGGACTAGACCAGGACTAGACCAGGACTAGACCAGGACTAGACCAGGGACTAGACCAGGACTAGACCAGGACTAAACCAGGACTAAACCAGGACTAGACCAGGACTAGACCAGGACTAGACCAGGGCCAAACCAGACCGTCCTGTTTTACATGGATCAGATTTCACTTTTCTGCACAAAACAAACACAAAATGAACCAGGACTAAACCAGGACTAAATCAGGACTAAACCAGGACTAAAGTTTTGTCCTGGTTTGTTGCGCTTGAGCCTCACCTGAGAAACCCGCTCCCAGACCGAACCGGACTGGACCATGCACGCTCCGGGTGTAGTCCGGGAGGGTCTAGTTCCAGTCCGGTCTTTTAGTCCGAGTCTAGTCCGGGTCGGGTCTTTGGTCCGGGTCGGGTCTTTGGTCCGGGTCGGGTCTTTGGTCCGGGTCGGGTCTTTGGTCCGGGTCGGGTCTTTGGTTTTACCTCGGATGAAGGCGGTCTGGCTCTGGTCCAGGAGAGAGGACTCGGAGATCCCCATGATAGACCCGCGTTAGTCCGGTTCAGATCCTGGTCCAGGTGAGACCCGCGTTAGTCCGGTTCAGATCCTGGTCCAGGTGAGACCCGCGTTAGTCCGGTTCAGATTCCTGGTCCAGGTGAGACTCAGGTGAAGCGGCGGCGCTATTCCGGGACTCTCTGAGGCCACGCCCACCAGGACCAGAGCGACTCCTCTGTCCGCGCCAGACCTGGTCTAGACCTGGTTTAGTCCTGGTTTAGTCCTGGTTTAGTCCTGGTTTAGTCCTGGTTTAGTCCTGGTTTAGTCCTGGTTTAGTCCTGGTTTAGTCCTGGTTTAGTCCTGGTTTAGACCTGGTCTAGACCTGGTCTAGTCCTGGTTTAGTCCTGGTTTAGTTCTGGTTCAGTTCTGGTTCAGTTCAGTTTGTGTTTTTGTCCACGTGGGTTTATTGTAGTTCCTGTTTTATCCTCTCGGTGTCGCTGTGGAGCCGCGTCTCTTTATGTGAACAACTCAAGAACCTGAAAACAAGACAGAAGTTTCGTGTTTTTGGAGAAAGTTTCGTGTTTTTGGAGAAAGTTTCGTGTTTTTGGAGAAAGTTTCGTGTTTTTGGAGAAAGTTTCGTGTCAGACTCGAGTCTTTGGGGAATCGGCCGAACAATAAACCGTTTGTGTTTGTGTGAATGAAAAAGTGAAGCGTGTTGTTTTTATTTGTTTTTGTTTTGCAGACGAGCCGCGCCCGAAACGTGACGCCCGAGCTCCGTTATGTTCATCAAAACACTGGAATAAGAATGGAACAACTCTGTAATTACACTTTAATTACACTTTAATCACACTTTAATCACACCCGTTGCTTTAGTCCAGTGTTTGCCAAACTTTTTTCTAAGGACTCATATTTTTAAAAACAGATTCATAAATCACAAAATAAAGTTGTAGATTTTTCATTCTTGATCTTTTTTGAGGAGGTTTGATTGTGACTCGTGTTTCTGAACATTTCGTTTGACTCGAGTTTGAAACGATGAAAAACACTGAAGCAGAAATAAAAGGATCCAGAAGTTTCCTGTTTGGATTTTAAATGTTGAACTTTTCTTTTTCTTTTCAAGTGAAGCAGAAAAACTGAAACGAAATATTCAATAAAATAAAGACACAAAGATTCAAAATGAAACAAACGAGTGTGAACTTTTAAACAGTTGTGTGTCAGGTGCGGTCCTGTGTGTGTCAGGTGCGGTCCTGTGTGTGTGTCAGGTGCGGTCCTGTGTGTCAGGTGCGGTCCTGTGTGTCAGGTGCGGTCCTGTGTGTGTGTGTCAGGTGCGGTCCTGTGTGTCAGGTGCGGTCCTGTGTGTGTGTCAGGTGCGGTCCTGTGTGTGTGTCAGGTGCGGTCCTGTGTGTGTCAGGTGCGGTCCTGTGTGTGTCAGGTGCGGTCCTGTGTGTGTGTCAGGTGCGGTCCTGTGTGTGTGTCAGGTGCGGTCCTGTGTGTGTGTCAGGTGCGGTCCTGTCTGTCAGGTGTAAAAACAAACATTTGGACAGGAGTTTGAAACATTTTCAATTTATTTTTGACATTTTCTAAAACAAAATTAAAAACAATAAAATCTCTGAAACAATAAATTAAATAAAAACAAGAGTCAGTCCCAGTCCCGGTCCCGGTTCAGTCCTGGTCCGGTCCGGGTTCAGTCCAGGTCCGGGTTCAGTCCTGGTCCGGGTTCAGTCCAGGTCCGGGTTCAGTCCTGGTCCGTCCGGTTCAGTCCTGGTCCGGTCCGGGTTCAGTCCTGGTCCGGTCCGGGGTTCAGTCCTGGTCCGGTCCGGGTTCAGTCCTGGTCCGGTCCGGGCTTGGTGCAGGTGGGGGAGCTGTATTTGCTGAGGACGGCTGTAAACTGGTTGAGATCCGCGTTGGTCCGGACTCCGGTCGGGTCAAAGTGGGTCCGGCTCACCCTGAACCCGGCCTCGCACAAGTACTGAAGGAACTTATTCAACCTGCGGAGAGACCAGAACCAGAACCAGAGTCAGAACCAGAACCACAGTCAGAACCAGAACCAGAACCACAGTCAGAACCAGAACCAGAACTAGAACCACAGTCAGAACCAGAACCAGAACCAGAACCAGAACCAGAACCAGAACTAGAACTAGAGTCAGAACTAAAGCAGAACTAACCCAGTAGTAGTATTTGTAGTATTTGTAGTACTTGTAGTACTTGTAGTATTTGGCGGCAGTAGCTCAGTTGGTGGAGCATTCGCCCACTGATCTGAAGGTTGGTGGTTTGATTCCAGCTCTTAACATAAACATCTCAGGTTGAGCGTCAGATCCACTGACCCACAGGAGCTGGTGTGATTCCAGCTCCCACAGATGAATGCTGCCGTTGTGTCCTTGGGCAAGACACTTAACCCACCTTGCCCACAGTGTCTGCGTACACTGGTGTGTGAATGTGTGTGTGAATGTGTGAGTGGTTCCTTGTAAAGCGCTTTGAGTGTCTTGAAGGTGGAAAAGCGCTATAGAAAAATGTGACCATTTACCATTTAGTATCTGTAGTACTTGTAGTACTTGTAGTATTTGTAGTATCTGTAGTACTTGTAGTACTTGTAGTATTGTAGTACTTGTAGTACTTGTAGTACTTTGTAGTATTTGTAGTACTTGTAGTACTTGTAGTACTGTAGTAGTAGTAGTTTGTAGTATTTGTAGTACTTTGTAGTACTTGTAGTATTTGTAGTACTTGTAGTATTTGTAGTACTTGTAGTATTTGTAGTACTTGTAGTATTTGTAGTAGTTTGTAGTAGTAGTTTGTAGTACTTGTAGTACTTGTAGTACTTTGTAGTACTTGTAGTACTTTGTAGTACTTGTAGTACTTGTAGTATTTGTAGTACTTGTAGTACTTGTAGTATTGTAGTACTTGTAGTACTGTAGTATTTGTAGTACTTTGTAGTATTTGTAGTACTTGTAGTACTGTAGTAGTATTTGTAGTATTGTAGTACTTGTAGTACTTGTAGTATTTGTAGTACTTGTAGTACTTTGTAGTAGTACGTTTGTAGTATTTGTAGTATTTGTAGTACTTGTAGTACTTGTAGTACTTGTAGTACTTTGTAGTATTTGTAGTATTTGTAGTATTTGTAGTACTTGTAGTATTTGTAGTACTGTGTACTTGTAGTATTGTAGTACTTGTAGTATTTGTAGTACTTGTAGTATTTGTAGTACTTGTAGTACTTGTAGTACTTGTAGTACTTTGTGTAGTACTTTGTAGTACTTGTAGTACTTGTAGTACTTGTGTAGTATTTGTAGTACTTGTAGTACTTGTAGTATTTGTAGTACTTGTAGTATTTGTAGTATTTGTAGTACTTTGTAGTACTTTGTAGTACTTGTAGTACTTGTAGTATTTGTAGTAGTATTTGTAGTATTTGTAGTACTTGTAGTACTTTAGTTGTAGTACTTGTGTATTTGTAGTACTTGTAGTACTTGTAGTATTTGTAGTACTTTAGTAGTATTTGTAGTACTTGTAGTACTTGTAGTATTGTAGTACTTGTAGTACTTGTAGTACTTGTAGTATTTGTAGTACTTGTAGTACTTGTAGTACTTGTAGTACTTGTAGTACTTGTAGTATTTTGTAGTAGTACTTGTAGTACTGTAGTATTTGTAGTACTGTATTTGTAGTATTTGTAGTACTTGTAGTACTTGTAGTACTTGTAGTATTTGTAGTACTTGTAGTATTTGTAGTACTTGTAGTATTTGTAGTATTTGTAGTACTTGTAGTACTTGTAGTATTTGTAGTATTGTAGTATTGTAGTACTTGTAGTACTTGTAGTAGTAGTATTGTAGTATTTGTAGTACTTGTAGTACTTGTAGTACTTGTAGTATTTGTAGTATTTGTAGTACTTGTAAGTACTTGTAGTACTTGTAGTATTTGTAGTACTTGTAGTAGTTTGTAGTATTTGTAGTACTTGTAGTATTTGTAGTACATTTGTAGTACTTGTAGTATTTGTAGTACTTTGTAGTAGTACTGTAGTATTTGTAGTACTTGTAGTACTTGTAGTATTTGTAGTACTTGTAGTACTTGTAGTAGTAGTATTGTAGTATTGTAGTACTTGTAGTACTTGTAGTACTTGTAGTATTTGTAGTATTTGTAGTACTTGTAGTATTTGTAGTATTTGTAGTACTTGTAGTAGTACTTGTAGTATTTGTAGTACTGTAGTTGTAGTACTTGTAGTATTTGTAGTATTGTAGTACTTGTAGTACTTTGTAGTACTTGTAGTACTTGTAGTAGTACTTGTAGTACTTGTAGTATTTGTAGTATTTGTAGTACTTGTAGTACTTGTAGTACTTGTAGTATTGTATATTTTGTAGTAGTTTGTAGTATTTGTAGTACTTGTAGTATTTGTAGTATTTGTAGTACTTGTAGTATTTGTAGTACTTGTAGTACTTGTAGTATTTGTAGTATCTGTAGTATTTGTAGTACTTGTAGTATTTGTAGTATCTGTAGTACTTGTAGTATTTGTAGTATTGTAGTACTTGTAGTACTTGTAGTACTTGTAGTATTTGTAGTATTTGTAGTACTTGTAGTACTTGTAGTACTTGTAGTATTTGTAGTACTTGTAGTATTGTAGTATTTGTAGTACTTGTAGTACTTGTAGTACTTGTAGTACTTGTAGTACTTGTAGTACTTGTAGTACTTGTAGTACTTGTAGTACTTGTAGTACTTGTAGTATTTGTAGTACTTGTAGTACTTGTAGTACTTGTAGTATTTGTAGTATTTTTAGTAGTAGTATTTGTAGTACTTGTAGTATTTGTAGTAGTATAGTTTGTGTAGTAGTACTTGTAGTACTGTAGTACTTGTAGTATTGTAGTACTTGTAGTATTTGTAGTACTTTGTAGTATTTGTAGTACTTGTAGTATTTGTAGTACTTGTAGTATTTGTAGTATTTGTAGTACTTTGTAGTACTTGTAGTACTTGTAGTACTTGTAGTACTTGTAGTACTTGTAGTACTTGTAGTACTTGTAGTATTTGTAGTACTTGTAGTATTTGTAGTACTTGTAGTACTTGTAGTATTTGTAGTATTTGTAGTACTTGTAGTACTTGTAGTATTTGTAGTACTTGTAGTACTTGTAGTACTTGTAGTATTTGTAGTACTTGTAGTATTTGTAGTATTTGTAGTATTTGTAGTATTTGTAGTACTTGTAGTACTTGTAGTATTTGTAGTACTTGTAGTACTTGTAGTATTTGTAGTATTGTAGTATTTGTAGTAGTAGTATTTGTAGTACTTGTAGTATTGTAGTATTGTAGTACTTGTAGTACTTGTAGTATTGTAGTACTTGTAGTACTTGTATTTGTAGTATTTGTAGTACTTGTAGTACTTGTAGTACTTTGTAGTACTTGTAGTATTTGTAGTATTTGTAGTACTTGTAGTACTTGTAGTATTTGTAGTATTTGTAGTATTTGTAGTACTTGTAGTACTTGTAGTATTGTAGTATTGTAGTATTTGTAGTATTGTAGTACTTGTAGTACTTGTAGTATTGTAGTACTTGTAGTATTTGTAGTACTTGTAGTACTTGTAGTTTGTAGTACTTGTAGTACTTTGTAGTATTTGTAGTACTTGTAGTACTTGTAGTATTTGTAGTACTTGTAGTACTGTAGTACTTGTAGTACTTGTAGTATTTGTAGTACTTGTTAGTATTTTGTAGTACTTGTAGTATCTGTAGTATTTGTAGTATTTGTAGTACTTGTAGTACTTGTAGTACTTGTAGTATTGTAGTATTTGTAGTATGTAGTAGTACTTGTAGTACTTGTAGTACTTGTAGTAGTTTGTAGTATTGTAGTATTTGTAGTATTGTAGTACTTGTAGTACTTGTAGTATTGTAGTACTGTAGTACTTGTAGTATTTGTAGTATTTGTAGTACTTGTAGTATTTTGTAGTATTTGTAGTACTTGTATTTGTAGTATTGTAGTATCTGTAGTACTTGTAGTATTTGTAGTATCTGTAGTACTTGTAGTATTTGTAGTATCTGTAGTACTTGTAGTATTTGTAGTACTTGTAGTACTTGTAGTATTTGTAGTACTTGTAGTACTTGTAGTACTTGTAGTATTGTAGTAGTATTTGTAGTACTTGTAGTACTTGTAGTACTTGTAGTATTTGTAGTATTTGTAGTATTTGTAGTATTGTAGTATTTTAGTACTTGTAGTATTTGTAGTACTTGTAGTACTTGTATTTGTAGTACTTGTAGTACTTGTATTTGTAGTATTGTAGTAGTAGTTTGTAGTATTTTGTAGTACTTGTAGTATTTGTAGTATTTGTAGTACTTGTAGTATACTTGTAGTATTTGTAGTACTTGTAGTACTTGTAGTACTTGTAGTACTTGTAGTATTTGTAGTATTTGTAGTATTTGTAGTACTGTAGTACTTGTATTTGTAGTACTTGTAGTACTTGTAGTACTTGTAGTATTTGTAGTACTTGTAGTACTTGTAGTACTTGTAGTACTTGTAGTACTTGTAGTATTTGTAGTATTGTAGTACTTGTAGTATTTGTAGTATTTGTAGTACTTGTAGACTTGTGTAGTATTGTAGTACTTGTAGTACTTGTAGTACTTGTAGTACTTGTAGTATTTGTAGTATTTGTAGTACTTGTAGTACTTGTAGTATTTGTAGTACTTGTAGTACTTGTAGTACTTGTAGTACTTGTAGTATTTGTAGTATTTGTAGTATTTGTAGTATTTGTAGTACTTGTAGTATTTGTAGTACTTGTAGTACTTGTAGTATTTGTAGTATTTGTAGTATTTGTAGTACTTGTAGTACTTGTAGTACTTGTAGTACTTGTAGTATTTGTAGTACTTGTAGTAGTACTTGTAGTATTGTAGTACTTGTAGTATTTGTAGTATTTGTAGTACTTGTAGTACTTGTAGTACTTGTAGTATTTGTAGTATTTGTAGTATTTGTAGTACTTGTAGTACTTGTAGTACTTGTAGTATTGTAGTATTTGTAGTACTTGTAGTATTTGTAGTACTTGTAGTAGTATTGTAGTATTTGTAGTACTTGTAGTACTTGTAGTTTGTAGTACTTGTAGTACTTGTAGTACTTGTAGTACTTGTAGTATTTGTAGTACTTTGTAGTACTTGTAGTACTTGTACTTGTAGTTTGTAGTACTTGTAGTACTTTGTAGTATTTGTAGTACTTTGTGTAGTATTTGTAGTATTTGTAGTACTTGTAGTATTTGTAGTACTTGTAGTACTTGTAGTATTGTAGTACTTGTAGTACTTGTAGTACTTGTAGTATTGTAGTACTGTAGTATTGTGTAGTATTTGTAGTACTTGTAGTACTTGTAGTGTAGTACTGTAGTATTTGTAGTATTTGTAGTACTATTTGTAGTACTTGTAGTACTTTGTAGTATTGTAGTACTTGTAGTACTTGTAGTACTTGTAGTATTTGTAGTATTTGTAGTACTTGTAGTATTGTAGTATTTGTAGTACTTGTAGTATTTGTAGTACTTGTAGTATTGTAGTAGTACTGTAGTACTTGTAGTATTTGTAGTACTTGTAGTACTTGTAGTATTGTGTAGTACTTGTAGTACTTGTAGTACTTGTAGTACTTTGTAGTACTTGTAGTATTTGTAGTACTTGTAGTACTTGTAGTATTTGTAGTACTTGTAGTACTTGTAGTACTTGTAGTACTTGTAGTATTTGTAGTATTTGTAGTACTTGTAGTATTTGTAGTACTTGTAGTACTTGTAGTATTTGTAGTATCTGTAGTATTTGTAGTACTTGTAGTATTTGTAGTATTGTAGTACTTGTAGTATTTGTAGTATTGTAGTACTTGTAGTACTTGTAGTATTTGTAGTACTGTAGTACTGTAGTATTGTAGTATTGTAGTTAGTATTGTAGTACTTGTAGTACTTAGTATTGTGTACTTGTAGTACTTGTAGTACTTTAGTACTGTAGTATGTAGTATTTGTAGTATCTGTAGTATTTGTAGTACTTTGTAGTATTTGTATTGTACTTGTAGTATTTGTAGTACTTGTAGTACTGTAGTATTTGTAGTATTTGTGTACTTGTAGTACTTGTAGTAGTACTTGTAGTACTTGTAGTATTTGTAGTATTTGTAGTACTTGTAGTATTTGTAGTACTTGTAGTACTTGTAGTACTTGTAGTATTTGTAGTACTTGTAGTACTTGTAGTACTTGTAGTATTTGTAGTACTTGTAGTACTTGTAGTACTTGTAGTACTTGTAGTACTTGTAGTACTTGTAGTACTTGTAGTATTTGTAGTATTTGTAGTACTTGTAGTACTTGTAGTATTGTAGTACTTGTAGTACTTGTAGTACTTGTAGTATTGTAGTATTGTAGTACTTGTAGTAGTACTTGTAGTACTTGTAGTACTTGTAGTACTTGTAGTATTTGTAGTACTTGTAGTATTTGTAGTATTTGTAGTACTTGTAGTACTTGTAGTACTTGTAGTACTCACTTGGGCATGTTCATTCCTCTGATACTGTGCCGGTGGATACTGTAGTAAAATGGAGGATGTTCTTGAGTCGTGTCGGGCTTCAGTTTCTTGATCAGTGGACCCACGTCCTCCGGGTTCCTCCTCTTCCCTGCACACAACACAGTTAAAGAACCAGAACCAGAACCAGAACCTGCACAGGTTTAAAGAACAGACTCACCTGCAGAATCAGCTCCTGGTTCTTCTGAGCTCTGAGGAGTTTTGATGACAACACCACACTCCACTGGAACAGAACAAGAAGAACAAGAAGAACGAGAAGAAGAAGAAGAACGTCAGAGGAGAACAAGAAGAAGAAGAAGAACGAGAAGAACGAGGAGGACGAGGTCTGAGGGGTGGAGCAGACTAAGGACGGCCAGGACAGACGGGAGGACGGCCCAGGCCCAGGGGGTACAGACCTTGGTTGGTGAGGGCAGGTGGGCACAGCGGGGGGTTCTTCAGGGGGTACAGACCTTGGTTGGTGAGGGCGGGTGGGCACAGCGGGGGGTTCTTCAGGGGGTACAGACCTTGGTTGGTGAGGGCGGGTGGGCACAGCGGGGGGTTCTTCAGGGGGTACAGACCTTGGTTGGTGAGGGCGGGGTGGGCACAGCGGGGGGTTCTTCAGGGGGTACAGACCTTGGTTGGTGAGGGCGGGTGGGCACAGCGGGGGGTTCTTCAGGGGGTACAGACCTTGGTTGGTGAGGGCAGGTGGGCACAGCGGGGGGTTCTTCAGGGGGTACAGACCTTGGTTGGTGAGGGCAGGTGGGCACAGCGGGGGGTTCTTCAGGGGGTACAGACCTTGGTTGGTGAGGGCAGGTGGGCACAGCGGGGTTCTTCAGGGGTACAGACCTTGGTTGGTGAGGGCAGGTGGGCACAGCGGGGGGTTCTTCAGGGGGTACAGACCTTGGTTGGTGAGGGCGGGTGGGCACAGCGGGGGGTTCTTCAGGGGGTACAGACCTTGGTTGGTGAGGGCGGGTGGGCACAGCGGGGGGTTCTTCAGGGGGGTGCACTCAGATTCACAGAGCAGAGTCTTGAGCAGAGGTTGGACGTCGTCCATCGAGTGTTTGAGCGCCGCCTTCAACATCCGCCGCAGGAACCCAGAGTGAAACAGAGGACCACTCCTGCACACGACACAGACCGGGTGAGACCGGGGTCAGACCTGGTCTAGTCCTGGTTTAGACCTGGTCTAGTCCTGGTTCAGTCCTGGTCTAGTCCTGGTTCAGTCCTGGTTCAGTTCTGGTTCGGGGATCATACTTACCACAGTGGTCCCAGGACGACGGCGGTTTTTCCAGGTAAAGTCCCGTGGCAGGAACACGGCAAAGTGTCTGAAAGAAAAGACCAGAGATCAGGACCAGACCCCAGCACCTCCTGACGCCTCCTGACGCCTCCTGACGCCGCCGTGACAACGCCACAGTGTCGCGGGAGTAGAACCCTCACCGTCGATGGAGGTGCCTTGCTTCAGGAAGAGTCTTTCCTCGCACCACTGGCAGTGCACGAGTCTGCGCAGCCTCCGCACAGACTCGTCGGCCTGAGACGGGCCCCTGAGAACCCGAACCACCACCAGGACGAAGTGCTCGAGCGCCACCGACAGGAGAACCTCCACACCTTTAGAACAGCGCGCAGCCGCCCTGAGGGACAACGAGACAGAGTCACACACCAGAGGGACAACGAGACAGAGTCACACACCAGAGGGACAACGAGACAGAGTCACACACCAGAGGGACAACGAGACAGAGTCACACACCTGAGGGACAACGAGACAGAGTCACACACCAGAGGGACAACGAGACAGAGTCACACACCTGAGGGACAACGAGACAGAGTCACACACCAGAGGGACAACGAGACAGAGTCACACACCAGAGGGACAACGAGACAGAGTCACACACCAGAGGGACAACGGGACAGAGTCACACACCAGAGGGACAACGAGACAGAGTCACACACCAGAGGGACAACGGGACAGAGTCACACACCAGAGGGACAACGAGACAGAGTCACACACCAGAGGGACAACGAGACAGAGTCACACACCAGAGGGACAACGAGACAGAGTCACACACAGAGGGACAACGAGACAGAGTCACACACCAGAGGGACAACGAGACAGAGTCACACACCAGAGGGACAACGGGACAGAGTCACACACCAGAGGGACAACGGGACAGAGTCAAACACCAGAGGGACAACGAGACAGAGTCACACACCAGAGGGACAACGAGACAGAGTCACACACCAGAGGGACAACGAGACAGAGTCACACACCAGAGGGACAACGAGACAGAGTCAAACAGAGGGACAACGAGACAGAGTCACACACCAGAGGGACAACGAGACAGAGTCAAACAGAGGGACAACGAGACAGAGTCACACACCAGAGGGACAACGAGACAGAGTCAAACAGAGGGACAACGAGACAGAGTCACACACCAGAGGGACAACGAGACAGAGTCACACACCAGAGGGACAACGAGACAGAGTCACACACCAGAGGGACAACGAGACAGAGTCACACACCAGAGGGACAACGAGACAGAGTCACACACCAGAGGGACAACGAGACAGAGTCACACACCAGAGGGACAACGAGACAGAGTCACACACCAGAGGGACAACGAGACAGAGTCACACACCAGAGGGACAACGGGACAGAGTCACACACCAGAGGGACAACGAGACAGAGTCACACACCAGAGGGACAACGAGACAGAGTCACACACCAGAGGGACAACGGACAGAGTCACACACCAGAGGGACAACGGGACAGAGTCACACACCAGAGGGACAACGAGACAGAGTCACACACCAGAGGGACAACGAGACAGAGTCACACACCAGAGGGACAACGAGACAGAGTCACACACCAGAGGGACAACGAGACAGAGTCACACACCAGAGGGACAACGGGACAGAGTCAAACAGAGGGACAACGGGACAGAGTCACACACCAGAGGGACAACGAGACAGAGTCACACACCAGAGGGACAACGAGACAGAGTCACACACCAGAGGGACAACGAGACAGAGTCACACACCAGAGGGAGACTAACGTCCTCAGGTCCACGTGTCCCGTCTGACCTCAAACACTTTAAATTCAGAATTTAAATTTTCACTTTGGAATTTGAATCGAGGTTTAACCTCCTTAAATCCACCACCAGGTCACGTCTAGACTCCGGGTCGGGACTCGGGTCGGGACTCGTACCGTGCGACGGCGTCGAGGACGGTTCGCGCCGCCAGCTCCTTGTAGTACTCGGTGCGCACCAGGGCGGCGCCGTAGTGGCGCAGCGTCACGTGCGGCGTCTTGGCGTAGAGCGCACCCGTGTCCGTCGACGTCACCGACACGATGCCCAGATTCCTCACGTTCCGGAACGCCGCGTCCAGGAAGTGAACCGCCGAACCGAACGGGTCCAAGTGTCTGAGGAGAGACGCAGGACTAAACCAGGACTAAACCAGGACTAAACCAGGTCTAAACCAGGTCTAAACCAGGACTAAACCAGGATTAAACCAGGACTAAACCAGAACTAAACCAGGACTAAACCAGGACTAAAGCAGGACTAAACCAGGTCTAAACCAGAACTAAACCAGGACTAAACCAGGACTAAACCAGGACTAAACCAGGACTAAAGCAGGACTAAACCAGGTCTAAACCAGAACTAAACCAGGACTAAACCAGGACTAAACCAGGACTAAACCAGGTCTAAACCAGGTCTAAACCAGGTCTAAACCAGGACTAAACCAGGACTAAACCAGGACTAAACCAGAACTAAACCAGGAATAAACCAGGTCTAAACCAGGACTAAACCAGGACTAAACCAGGACTAAACCAGAACTAAACCAGGACTAAACCAGGACTAAAGCAGGACTAAACCAGGTCTAAACCAGACTAAACCAGGACTAAACCAGGACTAAACCAGGACTAAAGCAGGACTAAACCAGGACTAAACCAGGACTAAACCAGAACTAAACCAGGAATAAACCAGGTCTAAACCAGGACTAAACCAGGATTAAACCAGGACTAAACCAGAACTAAACCAGGACTAAACCAGGACTAAAGCAGGACTAAACCAGGTCTAAACCAGAACTAAACCAGGACTAAACCAGGACTAAACCAGGACTAAACCAGGACTAAACCAGGTCTAAACCAGAACTAAACCAGAACTAAACCAGGACTAAACCAGAACTAAACCAGGATTAAACCAGGTCTAAACCAGGATTAAATCAGGTCTAAACCAGGACTAAAGCAGGACTAAACCAGAACTAAACCAGAACTAAACCAGGACTAAACCAGGTCTAAACCAGGCCTAAAGCAGGTCTAAACCAGGACTAAACCAGGACTAAAGCAGGACTAAAGCAGAACTAAACCAGAACCAAACCAGGACTAAACCAGAACTAAACCAGAACCAAACCAGGACTAAACCAGAACCAAACCAGGACTAAACCAGGACTAAACCAGGTCTAAACCCTCACATGTAGTCAAAGGGCCTGAGGTGCATGATGACGTTGGCGTCCATCTTGTTGACCTCGACAGTGGTCAGGCTCCGCCCCTCCGCCGCTCCGGGTCCCGCCCCGGGTCCCGTTCCGGACACGGACTCGGACCCGGACTCGGTCCCGGTCCAGGGAGCGACTCGGATCTGGTTGAGTTGACAGTTTTCTCTGATCATGTTGACGCAGGTGTCGCTGACGTCGGTGATGGTCACTCTGACGGCCGAGCGCAGGTGTTTGGCCCACTGCAGCCCCATGATGCCTGCGGGGACAAACCGGGTCAAACACCGGGTCAAATACACCGGGTCAAACGCAACACTGCAGCCCCATGATGCCTGCGGGGACAAACCGGGTCAAACACCGGGTCAAATACACCGGGTCAAACGCAACACTGCAGCCCCATGATGCCTGCGGGGACAAACCGGGTCAAACACCGGGTCAAATACACCGGGTCAAACGCAACACTGCAGCCCCATGATGCCTGCGGGGACAAACCGGGTCAAACACCGGGTCAAATACACCGGGTCAAACGCAACACTGCAGCCCCATGATGCCTGCGGGGACAAACTGGGTTAAACGCACTAAAAACAGGGTCAAACTTACTAAAAACAAGGTCAAACGACCTAAAAACAAGGTCAAACGTGCTAAAAACAAGGTCAAACGTGCTAAAAACAGGGTCAAATGCACTAAAGTCAGAGACAAACACTAAAAACAGGGTCAAATGCACTAAAGTCAGAGACAAACGCATTAAAAACTGTCAAATGCACTAAAAACAGGGTCAAACGCACTAAAAACAAGGTCAAATGCACTAAAAACAAGGTCAAATGCACTAAAAACAGGGTCAAACACACTAAAAACAGGGTCAGATGCACTAAAAACAGGGTCAAATGCACTAAAAACAGGGTCAAACACGCTAAAAACAGGGTAAAATGTGCTAAAAACAAGGTCAAATGTACTAAAAACGAGGTCAAATGCACTAAAAACAGGGTCAAACACATTAAAGACAAAGACAAATATACTAGAAACAGGGTAAAATGTGCTAAAAACAAGGTCAAATGTACTATAAACAAGGTCAAATGTACTATAAACAGGGTCAAATGTACTCATCTATACAGTCCATGCACAAGAGGGAGCACTACAACTGCTCAAAAATGTGATTTCTTAACATAAAAACTACAAACTAACTCTAAAACTGGACTTAGACCAATTTTATTCATACACAAGTGAAATTAACCGAGACAGAAAAGTGAAACCTGACTGTAGGTGGCGCCAAACCTGGACCTGGACCAAACCTGGACCCGGACCTGGACCAAACCCGGACCAAACCCGGACCAAACCCGGACCAAACCCGGACCAAACCCGGACCTGGACCAAACCCGGACCTGGACCAAACCCGGACCTGGACCAAACCCGGACCAAACCCGGGTCAAACCCGGACCTGGACCAAACCCGGACCTGGACCAAACCCGGACCTGGACCAAACCCGGACTTGGACCAAACCCGGACCTGGACCAAACCCGGACCTGGAGCAAACCCGGACCAAACCCGGACCCGGGCCTGGACCAAACCCGGACCAAACCTGGAGCAAACCCGGACCAAACCCGGGCCCGGACTTGGACCAAACCCGGACCTGGACCAAACCCGGACCTGGACCAAACCCGGACCTGGACCAAACCCGGACCAATCCCGGACCTGGACCGGACCTGGACCAAACCCGGACCTGGACCAAACCCGGACTTGGACCAAACCCGGACCTGGACTGACCTGTGGCTCCGAAGGCGTCCAGACACTCCAGAGGACTCCTCTCCTCAGCGAGAGCGGCAAGAGAACAGAACACCAACTGTCTGAGAACACAACACAGTTAAACACACACACAACACACAACACAGTTAAACACACAACACAACACACACACACAACACACACACACACACACACACACAACATACAACACAACACACACAACACACACACACACAACACAACACACAACACAACACAACACACACACAACACACACAACACACAACACACACAACATACAACACAACACACACACAACACACACAACACAACACACAACACAGTTAAACACACACACACAACACACACACAACACAGTTAAAACACACACACACAACACAACATACACAACACACACAACACACACACACAACACACAACAAACTGTAGACACAGTGTGTTGTGTTGTGTGTGTGTTGTGTGTGTGTGTGTGTGTGTGTGTGTGTGTGTGTGTTGTGTGTGTGTGTGTGTGTGTGTGTGTGTGTGTGTGTGTGTGTGTGTGTGTGTGTGTGTGTGTGTGTGTGTGTGTGTGTGTGTGTGTGTGTGTGTGTGTGTGTGTGTGTGTGTGTGTGTGTGTGTGTGTGTGTGTGTGTGTGTGTGTGTGTGTGTGTGTGTGTGTGTGTGTGTGTGTGTGTGTGTGTGTGTGTGTGTGTGTGTGTGTGTGTGTGTGTGTGTGTGTGTGTGTGTGTGTGTGTGTGTGTGTGTGTGTGTGTGTGTGTGTGTGTGTGTGTGTGTGTGTGTGTGTGTGTGTTGTGTGTGTGTGTGTGTGTGTGTGTGTGTGTGTGTGTGTGTGTGTGTGTGTGTGTGTGTGTGTGTGTGTGTGTGTGTGTGTGTGTGTGTGTGTGTGTGTGTGTGTGTGTGTGTGTGTGTGTGTGTGTGTGTGTGTGTGTGTGTGTGTGTGTGTGTGTGTGTGTGTGTGTGTGTGTGTGTGTGTGTGTGTGTGTGTGTGTTGTGTGTGTGTGTGTGTGTGTGTGTGTGTGTGTGTGTGTGTGTGTGTGTGTGTGTGTGTGTGTGTGTGTGTGTGTGTGTGTGTGTGTGTGTGTGTGTGTGTGTGTGTGTGTGTGTGTGTGTGTGTGTGTGTGTGTGTGTGTGTGTGTGTGTGTGTGTTGTGTGTGTGTGTGTGTGTGTGTGTGTGTGTGTGTGTGTGTGTGTGTGTGTGTGTGTGTGTGTTGTGTGTGTGTGTGTGTGTGTGTGTGTGTGTGTGTGTGTTGTGTGTGTGTTGTGCGTTACCTGTTTGTCTTCATCTTGCGGTTGAAGTACGTGTCGCTCTTCTGTGGCGTGTTGTGGTTTGGCATCAGTTGGACGTTTGTTCCGAGCTCCTTCAGGATCTCCAGAGTCCGACCGCACAACGCTGAGGGACGACAACACAACTTACACACACAACAACTGACACACACAACAACTGACACACAACAACTGACACACACAACAACTGACACACAACAACTGACACACAACACCACTTACACACACAACACCACTTACACACACAACAACTGACACACACAACAACTGACACACAACAACTGACACACACAACAACTGACATACAACAACTGACACAAACAACTGACACACTGACACACCACTTACACACACAACAACTGACACACACACAACAACTGACACACAACACAACTTACACACACAACAACTGACACACACACACACAACAACTGACACACACAACTGACACACAACACCACTTACACACACAACAACTGACACACACAACAACTGACACACAACAACAACTGACACACAACACCACTTACACACACAACACCACTTACACACACAACACCACTTACACACACAACAACTGACACACACAACAACTGACACACACAACAACTGACACACAACAACTGACACACAACACAACTGACACACAACACAACTGACATAACAACAACTGACACACACAACAACTGACACACAACACCACTTACACACACACACAACTCACACACAACAACTCACACACAACTGACACACACACACAACACACACAACAACTGACACACACAACAACTGACACACACACAACAACTGACACACACAACTGACACACACAACAACTGACACACACAACAACTGACACACACAACAACTGACACACAACAACTTACACACACAACTGACACACACAACTGACACACACAACAACTGACACACAACACAACTGACATACACAACAACTGACACACAACAACTGACACACACAACTGACACACAACAACTGACACACAACACAACTGACACACAACAACTGACACACACAACAACTGACACACACAACAACTGACACACAACAACTGACACACACAACAACTGACACACACAACAACTGACACACACAACAACTGACACACACAACAACTCACACACACCAACTGACACACACAACAACTGACACACACAACACCTGACACACAACTGACACACACAACAACTGACACACACAACTGACACACAACAACTGACACACACAACAACTGACACACACAACTGACACACAACAACTGACACACACAACTCACACACAAAAACTGACACACAACAACTGACACACACAACAACTGACACACACAACAACTGACACACAACAACTGACACACACAACAACTGACACACAACAACTGACACACAACACCACTTACACACACAACACCACTTACACACACAACAACTGACACACACAACAACTGACACACAACAACTGACACACACAACAACTGACATACAACAACTGACACACAAACAACTGACACACAACACCACTTACACACACAACAACTGACACACACAACAACTGACACACAACACAACTTACACACACAACAACTGACACACACAACAACTGACACACAACAACTGACACACAACACCACTTACACACACAACAACTGACACACACAACTACTGACACACAACAACAACTGACACACAACACCACTTACACACACAACACCACTTACACACACAACACCACACACACAACAACTGACACACACAACAACTGACACACACAACAACTGACACACAACAACTGACACACAACACAACTGACACACAACACAACTGACATACAACAACTGACACACACAACAACTGACACACACAACAACTGACACACAACACCACTTACACACACAACTCACACACAACAACTCACACACAACTGACACACACAACAACTGACACACAACAACTGACACACACAACAACTGACACACACACAACAACTGACACACACAACTGACACACACAACAACTGACACACACAACAACTGACACACACAACAACTGACACACACAAACTGACACACACAACAACTGACACACAACACAACTGACATACACAACAACTGACACACAACAACTGACACACACAACTGACACACAACAACTGACACACAACAACTGACACACACACAACTGACACACACAACAACTGACACACACAACAACTGACACACAACACAACTGACACACAACAACTGACACACACAACAACTGACACACACAACAACTCACACACACCAACTGACACACACAACAACTGACACACACAACAACTGACACACAACTGACACACACAACAACTGACACACACAACTGACACACACAACTCACACACAAAAACTGACACACAACAACTGACACACACAACAACTGACACACAACAACTGACACACAACAACTGACACACAACACAACTTACACACACAACAACTTACACACACAACAACTGACACACACAACAACTGACACACACAACAACTGACACACACAACAACTGACACACACAACTGACACACAACACAACTTACGCACACAACAACTGACACACACAACAACTGACACACACAACAACTGACACACAACAACTGACACACAACTTACACACACAACTTACACACACAACAACTGACACACAACAACTGACACACAACAACCCACACAAGGAACCCAACACTCACACCACAAACATCACACAAGTCCTACTGGAGCAGAACTAAACCAGGTCTCAACCAGAACTAAACCAGAACTAAACCAGGTCTAAACCAGAACTAAACCAGAACTAAACCAGGTCTAAACCAGAACTAAACCAGGTCTAAACCAGAACTAAACCAGGTCTAAACCAAAACTAAACCAGAACTAAACCAGGACTAAACCAGGTCTAAACCAGAACTAAACCAGAACTAAACCAGGTCTAAACCAGAACTAAACCAGGTCTAAACCAGAACTAAACCAGGTCTAAACCAGAACTAAACCAGAACTAAACCAGAACTAAACCAGGTCTAAACCAGAACTAAACCAGGTCTAAACCAGGACTAAACCAGAACTAAACCAGGACTAAACCAGAACTAAACCAGGTCTAAACCAGAACTAAACCAGGTCTAAACCAGAACTAAACCAGGTCTAAACCCATCTCTCAGTCCTCATCTGGTTCTGGTCCTGGTTCTAGTTCTGGTCTTTACCTGCTCCGTGGTCTTGGTCCTGGTTCTGGTCCTGGTCTTTACCTGCTCCGTGGTCTTGGTTCTGTTTCTGGTCTGGGTCTTTACCTGCTCCGTGGTCTTGGTTCTGGTCCTGGTTCTGGTCCGGGTCTTTACCTGCTCCGTGGTCTTGGTTCTGGTTCTGGTCCTGGTCCGGGTCTTTACCTGCTCCGTGGTCTTGGTTCTGGTTCTGGTCCTGGTCCGGGTCTTTACCTGGTCCCTGGTCTTGGTTCTGGTTCTGGTCCTGGTCCGGGTCCAGACTGTAGCTGGCCTGCGTCTCTCCTTTGTTGCTGTGGCGTTTGAGGTGACCGATCATGTCGGTTTTCCGGGCGATGGTCCCAGAACAAACGACGCAGTGATAGTGAGCGACGGCCCGCGGGCCCGACTGACCGGAACCGAGGAGGAGGAGAAGAAGAAGAAGAAGAAGGAGGAGGAGAAGAAGGAGGAGGAGAAGAAGAGGAGGAGAAGAAGAAGAAGGAGGAGGAGGAGAAGAAGAGGAGCACAGGGTGAGGAGGAAGAGAACAGACCAAGGGTTAGTTTTCAATCTGCAGACCTGTGGAGCAAACACACACACACAGGAGGACCACAGGTGGACCACAGGAGGACCACAGGTGGACCACAGGAGGACCACAGGACACAGGTGAACCACAGGAGGACCACAGGAGGACCACAGGTGGACCACAGGAGGACCACAGGTGGACCACAGGTGGACCACAGGAGGACCACAGGAGGACCACAGGAGGACCACAGGTGGACCACAGGAGGACCACAGGAGGACCACAGGTGGACCACAGGTGGACCACAGGAGGACCACAGGAGGACCACAGGTGGACCACAGATGGACCACAGGAGGACCACAGGAGGACCACAGGATGGACCACAGGTGGACCACAGGACCACAGGTGGACCACAGGTGGACCACAGGTGGACCACAGGAGGACCACAGGAGGACCACAGGTGGACCACAGGTGGACCACAGGTGGACCACAGGTGGACCACAGGAGGACCACAGGAGGACCACAGATGGACCACAGGAGGACCACAGGTGGACCACAGGAGGACCACAGGTGGACCACAGGAGGACCACAGGTGGACCACAGGAGGACCACAGGTGGACCACAGATGTTCTTGATGACATCACAGAGGGTAAAGGTCATGTGGACGCTCGCTGTAATAAATCCTAATTTTATTTTATAAATATTTTAAAGAACATTTTAAAAAATCAAACTAAATATAATTTGGGCCGGGCACATTAACACGTTAACTTTACGTTAACTAATTAAGTCATTATTATTATTATTATTATCGCTATAGAAAAATGTGACAATTTTTACCATTTTTAATTAAGTCATTAACGCCGACAATTATTTTAACGCCCTTAACGCAGTTTTTATTATTTATTTATTTTATTGTAAAAGTCTGTTTCTCACTGACTTTTATTTTGAAAAACTCCACCGCGAGCGTTTCTTTAAGTTTGACGTCTTTTCTTTACACTTTTTTCACTTTTTTCTGACCACGTGAGATGCAACATGTCCGAGCCTCCGGCGAGCCGCAGGTTCAGCCGCGGCTCCGGCTCTGAGCTGAGCTTGTTTGTTTAGTTCAGCGCTGGAGTCACTGATTTACCCAGATACAACTGGAAGAAAAAATGTGATTGGTCCATTTTCATTTCATTATATTAACCCTTTGTTTCCTAAGAAATATCAGTCCAAGTTTATAACACTGATCTAGAAATTATTACTAGTGTCGTGTTCATTACTCACAGCATAAAAAATATTCAATAAATATATTAGTAGTACAAACGTCCACTCAATATTTTTTCTGGAGCCTTCAGTGAAAACCTTGAAGACTCTGAGGTTCAACTGTGAAAGAAATGTTCTGTTTGCACAACAAATGTTTGGCTCTTTCATTTACATTTCCAATAAAAGAGCGACATACTCTACTTTTTAATTCATTCATTGGTTTTGCGCATAACATGCGATTAATCGCGATCACATTTTAATTTTTTTTTTGCCCAGTCCTAAATATAATATAAAAATAAATGATGTTAAAAATGTAAACGTGGTTTTAGACTCTTCAGATCGACACAAACAGACACAAATGCAGACGTGAAGTCCACGAAATAAACCAGGACTAAACCAGGACTAAAGCAGGACTAAAGCAGGACTAAAGCAGGACTAAAGCAGGACTAAAGCAGGACTAAACCAGGTCTAAACCAGGTCTAAACCAGGTCTAAACCAGGTCTAAACCAGGTACCTGCTCAGATGAGGGACTGGGCTTCAGCGTCCGACAGGGAAGATGACAGATGCACATCCTCTGACCTGAAACAGAGACCAGGACTGAACCAGGACTGAACCAGGACTGGACCAGGACTGGACCAGGACTGGACCAGGACTGGACCAGGACTGGACCAGGTCTGGACCAGGACTAAACCAGGTCTGGACCAGGTCTGGACCAGGACCAGGGCAGGGTCTGACCTTGGAACTCGACGTAAACCTTCCAGTGGAGGTTCTGGAGGTGTCTTCTGAGTTTGTGGCTGTAGCACGACTTAAACTTCTCCTCAGGACAGAGCGGACACGACTTCCTCCCCGCTGCAACACACACACACACAACACACACACACACACCGTTACTATGGAGACACGACACACACACACACTCGTTGACCTCTGACCTCACCTCCGTTGAGGTCGACGAGTGCCTCCAGGTCCTCGATGCGACTCTGGATGGAGATGTGTCGCTCTGAAAACAAAAACAAAACTATTTCAAGGATTCAACTCTGAGAAGCCCCCTGACCTCTGACCCCTGTGGATCCTCCTGTGACCTCTGACCCTGTGGATCCTCCTGTGACCTCTGACCCCTGTGGATCCTCCTGTGACCTCTGACCCCTGTGGATCCTCCTGTGACCTCTGACCCCTGTGGATCCTCCTGTGACCTCTGACCCCTGTGGATCCTCCTGTGACCTCTGACCCCTGAGGATCCTCCTGTGACCTCTGACCCCTGAGGATGGTCTGTTTGACCTGTGACATTTTAATCTGTGTTGCTGTTGTTGGGTGTTTGTGTTGTTGTTTGTGTTGTTGTTTGTTTCTTGTTGGTGTTGGTTGTTTTGTTGTTGTTTGTTGTTGTGTTTATGGAGTTTCTCCTGCAGCAGAACAACAACTCACCAGCTGCACGAGCACATGCACAAGTACTACACACAGCAGAGGTAGTAGTATTTGCAGTAGTAGTAGTATTTGCAGTACTTGTACCTGTGGTGGTGGAGGGTTTCTCCTCCGTCTCTCCCACAGACTCGTCTCCTCCAGCGCTCGCTGAAAAAAACAACAAAACAACACACACACACACACACAGACACACAATTTGACTTCATGAGAATAAAATTTCCTGCGATTTCCCAGGAAGGTTCCACAGTGTCCCAGGACTAAACCAGAACTAAACCAGAACTAAACCAGGACTAAACCAGGACTAAACCAGGACTAAACCAGGACTAAACCAGAACTAAACCAGGACTAAACCAGGACTAAACCAGGACTAAACCAGGACTAAACCAGGACTAAACCAGGTCTAAACCAGAACTAAACCAGGACTAAACCAGGTCTAAACCAGGTCTAAATCAGGACTACACCAGGACTACACCAGGACTACACCAGGACTAAACCAGGTCTAAACCAGGTCAAAAATGTTTCATAAACTTGTAAAGGGAGAGTTCTGGGAGGCCTCTGCACGGAGCTGCACCACAGGGCCCATGGTCCAGGGCATCTGACTCTATTTTCTGATATGTGTTCTGATGTAGTTACACTGAGACTCCAAGTCCCATAATCCTCTGCTCTAATGTAGTTTACACAGAGACTCCATGTCCCATGATCCTCTGCTCTGTTCTGTTCTAATGTCGTTTCCTCATCACAAACAGACCTGGAGTTGTTTTGTCTTCACATCCCCCCATGTGTCTATGTATCCGTGTCCCCCTCTGTCCCTGTGTCCCTCCTCGTGTGTCCCCTCTGCCCCACCCCGTCCCCTCTGCCCCACCCCGTCCCCTCTGCCCCACCCGTGTCCCTGTCACCCCGTGTGTCCCCTCTGTCCCCCTGTCCCCTCTGTCCCCTGGGTCCCTCTGTCCCCGCCCGAGTCCCCCTGTCCCCCCCTGTCCCTCCTCTATCCTCTGTCCCCCGTGTGTCCCTCTGTCCCTCCGTGTCCCCTCTGTCCCCCCCATGTGTCCCCTCTATCCCTCTGTCCCCCCTGTCCCTCCTGTCCCCTGTCCTGTCCCCTCCTGTCCCTCTGTCCCCCTCCTGTCCCCTCCTGTCCCCCCTGTCCCCTGTCCCCCCTCCTGTCCTCCTGTCCCCTCCTGTCCCTCCTGTCCCCTGTCCTGTCCCCTTTGTCCCCTCCTGTCCCCCTCCTGTCCCCTCCTGTCCCTCTGTCCCCTCCTGTCCCCCCCTGTCCCCTCCTGTCCCCCCTGTCCCCCCTGTCCCCTCCTCCTGTCCCCCCTGTCCCCTCCTGTCCCCTCCTGTCCCTGTCGGTGGTTCTTTGTTTAGGTCCTGTGGCGGAGCTCCGCGCTGAGGCCGTGTTTCACTTCCCGCGGTTCAAAAGCGGCGTGTTGTCCCGGTTCGGCGCAGCCACAGCGGCCGTGCGGCTCCACGGCCCCGGAGCTTCCGCCGCTAAAAACACCCGGAAAAAGCGTTTAAAAAGACGGTTTGACTCCATTTTACTCACGTTTGACTTCGCCCTCATCAAAGTGAACCTCCGCCGCCATTACGAACAACGCGCTGACGTCACTGCGCACGGCCCGCTGACGCACGCACAAAAATAAAATAAAAACAAAACAATAATACATACAAAAAATAATAATTACACATTTTAAAATATATCAAAGTAAAAATGATAATATTTTATTTATTAATTTACAGAGTTTATATTTTTAGACAGAGCAGTGAAAGAGCTTCGTCATCAACAAACAAAAACAAAAACAGTGCAACGATTTTCAACGGGCAGAAAAATAAAGTAATAATGTTTAGTTTAATGTATTTTTTATAAGTTGTATGAACTAAGTAATGAGAGTTTCGTTTCCAAGTGAAATCGAAACTAACAATCGGTCCCGCCCTGAACCGGAGCCAGACCCGAGACCTGGACCCGAGACCAGGACCCGAGACCTGGAGCACAGAGGAATTTAAACAACGACCAGAACCACGAGAGACTGTTTCATAATGAGGTGAGAAGAAAAGAGACACTTAACATAAGCCGCACCCAGTTTAGACCTGGTTTAGTTCTGGTTTAGTTCTGGTTTAGTCCTGGTTTAGTTCTGGCTTAGACCTGGTTTAGACCCGGTTTAGACCTGGTTTATTACTGATCTTGACCTAGTTCTGGTTATAAATCCACACTCGTTCACTAATTTTTATTAGGCCCGAGCGCCAGAGGCTGGTGAAGGGCCTATTAGTTTCGCACAGCGATGCTCCAAGTGGCTGAAAAATGGAATGGCGCGACGTGACTCGCCCGTAGTGACCAGGGACCCTCACCATCACGTAGCAATGCGCCTGAGGTTTCCGAAAACGTATAGTTTGTCGGCCAAAAAAAAGCGGAACATTGTTTTCGCATCAGAATATTCTTCTTTCTTCTTATTTTTTTCTTAACCAACTCACCCATTTTTCACCCACTAAACAATAATAAAAAGTCCTGGAAATTTTTCCATCTGGTAAAACTCGCGCTTCCCTACGTTTTGGCTATTTCCATTTTCCAAACATAAATAAAATGGCTCGTCAGCCCCAAACGACTCAAAAATGCATTAGGGAATACGAATGACACAAAAAAATTTTTTTTACACGTATAATCATGAAATTTGACACAGAAGTCGATCATGTCAAGACAAGGAAAAAATATTATTACGTCATCACGGTGCGCTCCACTAGGGGGCAGCAATATTGGCTTAAAGTTTGCTAAGCTGTTACGAACTCCTCCGAGGGCGTTCACCCGAACGAGCTCAAATTTGGTCCACATCATCTCAAGACGTAGAACAATAAAAGTTATCCAAATTGTTCACACACGTCTTACGATCTCTGAGCAGTGAAGCAACAAAAAATGCTCACAATTTAGGAGATTTACAAATTGCTCCCATTTGCTCAAACGAACTCCGATTTCAATGAAAATTGAAACATTTGTTAAACTCTCTGCCCTGAAGCGACTTCATGTGAAAATTATGAATTTGGTGCATTAGCGCCCCCTATAGATTGAAACAAAATTTAATATAGAAGAAAATCATTAGTTCTCAAATAGTTGTTCAAAAGATTTCTGAAATTTTGCACAAAATTCCCTTTTGGCATCCTGATCCAAAAGTCAATGACACCCATGTCATATTTTTTATGGCGTTGCCATAGCGATGGCATAAACTCTCCATTGATAAAATCTACAAATTCTGGCACAAAACTTTGGCCGATTCCACTCCAATTTGAATCGTTGATTGACACCCCGACTCTGAACACATTTATATAAGAAAATCTCTGATGGGTGCTATAGCGCCCCCTAGGGAAATTGCATGGTAGTGCAAACATTTACTTTGTTGTAGACATATAAACTTTGGTACACAGATTCATGACATGGTCTTGATCAAAAAAGTCAATGACGACCCCATGCCATTTCCCGTCGTGTTGCCATGGCGACAGGCCAAACATCTGCCCTTGCCAATAGGCCTGACAAAAACTTTGGCGTAGCCAAACCAAATTTGGTACACAGATGCATCATGGGAATAGGAACAAAAAAGTATATTACACGGTTGCTAGGCAACCAACAGGAAGTCGGCCATATTGGATTGATGGTGCGACTTGTCCTCATACTTGAACGAACTCGTCCTTGGGCGTTTGACCCAGACAGAATCATTCTGTATCATCTAGACAAGTGGGACTTTAAAAGTTGTTAAAAGCTTTTTAAAAGGTCACACGGTGTTGCCGTGGCAACAAGGCAAATTTCAGGTTTGTTTTTGGGGCTCACCATCAAACTTCAACGAGTGATAATTTGCACAAACTTTGGCCGATTTCACTCAAATTTTAATCATGAGTTCACACCTCAACCCTGAACAGATTGATGTAAGAAAATACAAACATGGGTGCAATAGCGCCCCCTGGAAAATTTGTATGTAAAAATAAGGTTTTCTTTGTCACAGTTTTACAAAATTTGGTATCCACATTTGTGACATGGTCTCGATTAAAAAACTCAATGATGCTCACATCCCAGTTTACATTGTGTTGCCATGGCAACAAGCCAAAATTGTATCCTTGCCAATGGGACATCCTTACACAAACGTTGGCGTAGCCAAACCAAATTTGGTATCCACATGCATGATGGCAATAAGAACAAAAATGTATATTGTGACCACGCCCCTTTACAAACCGGAAGTCCGCCATCTTGGATAATTTTTTTTGCCAAATTTAGAAATTTGCAGGGTTAAATTAAGATTTTTAGGGCTAGGGTTGGAGCTATGGTTAGGATTATGATTAGGGTAAGGATTAAGCTTTGGCTTATTAGGGTCAGTGTGAGGTGCGGCGTTTGCGGGGCGCGGCATATGGGGGGCGCAGCGTAAGCACGCGCGAGGGCCGATCATTGCTGCTTGCGGCTATATTTAACTATTAGTATCGCAAAGCGATGCTCCGAGTGGCCCGAAAGTGGCACGACATGACTCGCATTTCCAGCTCTGGGGGAGTCTGTGGAAATTATCGTGTCAGAGCTTTAAAGAGACACTGTCCTGCATGAATCCATGAAAATAGAAAGTTAAAGCCGTACTTTGGAATATTAAAGGAACAATATTTACAATACAATATTTTCCGACACCAAGCAGCAGGTCCTCCTCCAGGAGCCCGGTCACAGTAAAGACACATGTTCTCAACATGAAGAAACATCATTTTATTTTACATTCAAATGTTTAGTTACACCCCAGAGTTTCCTGTACTGAACCCCCCCTCTCTCCCACAGCTCCTCAGGCTCCGCCCACGGCCCCTCAGGCTCCGCCCTCGACGCTCTGTCGTGTCACTTCACGTGGGGTCTGACCTTCAGTCGTGCGACACTGATCCAGGTGAGGGACAAACTCATGGACATCGTCCCTGAAGAGAGCGCCACCTGGAGGGGGCAGAACTACAACCTGCAGGGCTTCCTCCAGCACAGACTGGGGCGCTCCTCAGAGGCCCTCAGCCTCCTGCGCTCGGCCTCAGAGGCCCTCAGGGGCCCCGAGCTCCTGGTGAACTACAGCGACCTGGCCTGGCTGCACCACGAGAGGGGAGAGCACGAGCAGAGCCAGGAGTACCTGAGCAGAGTGGAGGTGCTCAGGAGAGAGAACCCCACAGAGGGGGAGCACCCCGAGGTGCTGGCGGAGAAGGCCTGGACCCTGATGAAGTTCGGGCGTCAGCAGAAGCTGGAGGCGGTCGATGTGTTTGAGGCGGCGTTGGAGGCGGAGCCAGAGCGCGTGGAGTGGAGGAGCGCTCAGGTCATCGCTCTCGCTAGTGCCAAAAAACACGACCCCGACCCCCCGGACGCTCAGCTGCTGCAGAGGGTGCAGAGGGCCCACGAGGACGACCCGGAGAACCTGTACCTGCACGTGCTGCACCTGAGCCTCAGGCAGCGCTGTGGGGACGATGTGCTGGACGACGTCTCTGAGCTGGAGGACAGGATCATGGTCAGAGCCAACAGCAGCTTCAGTGGACTCAAGGCCGTGCTGCGCATTTACCGAAACATCAACCACCCGAACGGCGCCATCAAGTGGGCGGAGAAGGCGCTGGACAATCACCCCGACAGCCGCTACGTGAAACACTGCGTCGCACTCTGCTACAAGTGGAGGGTCCTGTTCCGAAAAGATGGAGCGTCACAGCGCCGCCTGCTGGACAGAGCCATAAGTCTGTATGAGGAGGTGCTGGGTCTGTACCCAGACATTCCTCTGGTCAAGGAGATAGATCTGGCAGATCTTTACAGTAGGACCGAGAGAAGCAGAGCTGAGGAGATGTACAGAAGACTCCTGCAGAGGAACATGGAGCCTCCAGAGGCTCAGATGCTCTACAACCGCTACGCCAAATACTTAAAGTACATGAAGCAGGACGTCTACAAGGCCATCAAATACCATAAGAAAGCTGCACAAATCGACCACGATTCTTTCTTCAGAGACAACAGCCTCAAAGAGCTTCAGAAACACACCAGACAGAGTCTGGAGTCCATCCTGGAGGAGCTGCAGAGCTTCTCCCTGATGGAGCCTCTGGAGGAGCTGCAGTGTCACTTCACCTGGGAGCTCAAACGCAGCCGCTTCATCCTGTTCTCCCTCAGGGACCGACTGGAGGACCTCGCCCCCGAAGAGAGCGCCACCTGGAGGGGGCAAAACTACAACCTGCAGGGCTTCCTCCAGCACAGACTGGGGCGCTCCTCAGAGGCCCTCAGCCTCCTGCACTCGGCCTCAGAGGCCCTCAGGGGCCCCAAGCTCCTGGTGAACTACAGCGACCTGGCCTGGCTGCACCACGAGAGGGGAGAGCACGAGCAGAGCCACGAGTACCTGAGCAGAGTGGAGGCGCTCAGGAGAGAGTACCCCACAGAGGGGGAGCACCCCGAGGTGCTGGCGGAGAAGGCCTTCAGTCTGATGGAGTTTTACAACGACAAGAACCTCTTGGCAGCCGAGCTGTTGGACGAGGCTCTGAGGCAGCAGCCGGACAGACGGGAGTGGCTCAGTGCTCAGGCCGTGGCCCTCGTGAGCGCCCACAGACACAGCGACGACGTGGATGAGAAGGTACTCCTCAAGATAAAACGAGCCATGGACAAGGACCCAGAGAACCTGCAGCTGCAGGCGGAGTACCTGAACCTGCGAGTGCAGAGAGAGGAGAGCGCCTACAGAGGGGAGCAGAGCGCCCACAGAGGGGAGCAGAGCGCCCACAGAGGGGGGCAGAGCGCCCACAGGGAGCAGCGCCCAGAGGGGAGCAGAGCGGGCAGCAGAGCAGCAGAGGGCCCACAGAGGGGCAGAGCGCCCACAGAGAGGGGCAGAGCGCCCACAGAGGGGGGCGGGGCTGGGGCACAGGGGAGGAGCTGAGGGCAGAGGTGTCCGCTCTGGCCTCTCAGCTCCTCCAGAAGCCTCAGACTTTACTCAGAGATATAAAGTGTGTTCTGGAGCTGCAGAGGAGGGCGGGGCGTGTGGACGAGGCCGTGGCGTTGGCGAACGCCGCTCTGAGGAAACGTCCCGACAGTCGGTACCTGAAGGCCTCCCTCGCCATGTGCCTGAAGTGGCAGCTGGACCAGCAGGGGGAACGTGCGAGTCAGGAGCTGATGGAGCAGGCGGCGGAGCTGCTGGGGGAGGTGGCCTCTCTGTACCCGGAGTCCTGCCTCAGAACTGAGTTGGACCGAGCAAACGTCTACGCCAAGTCCAACCGCGGCCTGGCACAGGCCCAGCGCCTGTACCAGGACCTGATCCTGCGGGACCTGGAGCCCGTGTCCAGACAGATGGTGCTCAACCAGTACGCCAAGTTTCTGAAACATGAGCGACACGATTATGTGAAGTCCATGGAGTACCACATGAGGGCGGCAGAGATCCCCTCGCCCTCCTTCTACAGAACCAACAGTATCACAGTTTTACGCAGACTCAGCCCCAGAGACGAGCGTCTGCGCAGACGACTCCAACTCTTCCTTGAGAACCTCCAGGACTCATGAAGCTCCTTCACTTCACTTGGAAGAACATGTCAGGACAATCTTTACTTTGAGCTTTTACCCACGTCACACTGTGTGCCTGGAGTTGTTTTCTGTTTTTCTGTTTGACTCACACTTGTTTCATTAAATCCAAAATCTCTCTGAGCCTCAGAAACGACTCGTTCTCATTTTGTCCATTCAGTTTCTTCACAGATAAAACTCCAAACGCCTGTGCAGTTTTTAAGCCCATGAACCATGACCGGACTCAGTCTGCGCTCAGACTCAGTCCAACACATGACTCTGTCAGCGCAGAGTTCACGGAGGATAAAGACTCAGGACTGTTTTCTTTCTACATGTTTCTAAAGTGCTGACAGCAGAGGGAGCGCGCTGGGAACAGACGTGGAGATTATAAAGTGTCTATTTCAAATCCAAACATATTTAAAAATGTGAAATACTGATCAAAATTTTACCAAAATGTGTGTTGTGTAAAATCATTAAAATCATCTTTGAAAATGACATGAAATTGTTTATTATTTATTATTCCAAGTTGTTGGTTGTTCACCTTCATTTGCAAATGTAAGTCATATCACACTTCCAATAAAAAGAAATGATTTTCTTAACATAAAAATGTACAAAAAGTTTTATACAACAGCGTGAGGCGAGGGGAAAACAAACCAGCGTCACTCGTGTCGCCGACTTTTCTTGTGGCTCTTTTTCGAACTCCTGTTGAAATAAAAAATAACACAAGACGTTAAATAGAGCGTCCGTTAAAAGGGAATGTTTAACGTTAAATACAGCAGGATTAAAGGGGAGGTTTAACATTAAATACAGTGGGATTAAAGGGAATATTTAACGTTAAATACAGCGGATTAAAGGGGATGTTTAATGTTAAATACAACGGGATTAAAGGGGAGGTTTAACGTTAAATACAGCAGGATTAAAGGGGAGGTTTAACGTTAAATACAGCGGGATTAAAGGGGAGGTTTAACATTAAATACAGTGGGATTAAAGGGAATATTTAACGTTAAATACAGCGGGATTAAAGGGAATATTTAACGTTAAATACAGCGGGATTAAAGGGGAGGTTTAACGTTAAATACAACGGGATTAAAGGGGATGTTTAACGTTAAATACAACGGGATTAAAGGGGAGGTTTAACGTTAAATACAACGGGATTAAAGGGAATATTTAACTTTAAATACAGCGGGATTAAAGGGGAGGTTTAACGTTAAATACAACGGGATTAAAGGGGATGTTTAACGTTAAATACAGTGGGATTAAAGGGGAGGTTTAACGTTAAATACAGCGGGATTAAAGGGGAGGTTTAACGTTAAATACAGTGGGATTAAAGGGAATATTTAACGTTAAATACAGCGGGATTAAAGGGGATGTTTAACGTTAAATACAGTGGGATTAAAGGGGAGGTTTAACGTTAAATACAATGGGATTAAAGGGAATATTTAACGTTAAATACTGCGGGATTAAAGGGGAGGTTTAAAGGTCCATATGACTCTAGATTAGAACAGATCACAGAAGAGTTTCCTGGTCTCACACAGACCTGGAGTTGTGTTTTGCTTCATTCACACAAACCTGCTCATTTACATGAGTTCTTCTCTTAAACTGAAAACACTCTGTTCCACCTTGTGATGTCATCATGTGGTGATACAGGAAGTGCTCCACTGTGTTTTTAAACTCCACACACCTTCACTAGAATCACCTGGATCATTTCAGTCCTGGAGTTTTGACTGAACTAAAGGGAAAAAGAGCTGAGCACTTGGAAACTACCACTTCATGACATCACAAGGTGGAACAGAGTGTTTGGAGCTATATCATAATATATAATAAAGAGTTACTTAAACGTGTGAATAAAACAAAACACAACTGCAGCTGTTTGTGACAAGGAACATTAGAACATGACTTCAGTTTGTCAGATAAATCTCTTGTGCTCAAAGGTGCAGATACAGGAGGACAAATGGACCTCTGAGGTTCAAACAGTTTCCAAATAAATAAAGAGCATAAACACCACAAGGCACACAAACAACGGAGACAATGTAAGGCCAAGTCACATGGCTGTAACGTGACCACATGTGTTCACATTTGTACCCCTCTGTATCCCTTTGAGGACAGCACAGGAGACACAGGAGCTTTAAGGAGCACACACCTCTCTGGAGACTTGGAGTGACTCCTGTGTCTGTGGCTTCTGTGATGACCTAGAGACCAGAAAAGAAGACCTGGTTCAGTCCTGGTTCGGTCCCCGTGAGAGATCCCCCCTTTAGTCCGGTTTTACCTGGGGACTTGGAGCGGTGTCTTCGGTCTCTGGACCTGCTCCTGTGGCGTCGGGGGCTTTTGCTTCGGTGACGTTCTCTGCGCGGAGACGGACTGAAAACAACGACAGGAGTGACCTTCACTTCACACTGAACACAGATGGGACATGTCTGAAAACATGTCTAAAAACATGTCTGAAAACATGTCTGAGGACGCGTTTAAAAACACGTCTGAAGACATGTCTAAAAACATGTCTGAAAACATGTCTAAAAACATGTCTGAGGACGCGTTTAAAAACACGTCTGAGGACATGTCTAAAAACACGTCTGAGGACACGTCTAAAAACACGTCTGAGGACATGTCTAAAAACACGTCTGAGGACGCGTCTAAAAACACGTCTGAGGACACGTTCTAAAAAACGTCTGAAACAACGTCTAAAAACACGTCTGAGGACACGTCTAAAAACACGTCTGAGGACGCGTCTAAAAACACGTCTGAGGACGTCTAAAAACACGTCTGGACACGTCTAAAAACACGTCTGAGGACACGTCTAAAAACACGTCTGAGGACACGTCTAAAAACACGTCTGAGGACACGTCTAAAAACACGTCTGAGGACACGTCTAAAAACACGTCTGAGGACACGTCTAAAAACACGTCTGAGGACGCGTCTAAAAACACGTCTGAGGACACGTCTAAAAACACGTCTGAGGACGCGTCTAAAAACACGTCTGAGGACGCGTCTAAAAACACGTCTGAGGACGCGTCTAAAAACACGTCTGAGGACGTCTAAAAACACGTCTGAGGACGCGTCTAAAAACACGTCTCTAAAAACACGTCTGAGGACACGTCTAAAAACACGTCTGAGGACACGTCTAAAAACACGTCTGAGGACACGTCTAAAAACACGTCTGAGGACGCGTCTAAAAACACGTCTGAGGACACGTCTAAAAACACGTCTGAGGACACGTCTAAAAACACGTCTGAGGACACGTCTAAAAACACGTCTGAGGACGCGTCTAAAAACATGTCTGAGGACGCGTCTAACCGCCGCCGCGCTCCAAACAGGAAGTGTTGATGGGCGTGACTGGGCTCCGGCTCCAGTCTCTCTGTAAGTGCTGCTCCTTCTTTTCCTCGAGGCCCCTCCCACTGCGTTAGCAACAGGTTTGATTGACAGCGTTGCCAAAGCAGCGGTGTGGGCGGGAGGGGGCGTTACCTTCAGCAGCCTCGCTCCTGATTGGCTCTTTGGTTGCTGTGATACTCACAGTCGGAGCAGGTCCAGGCCAACATTCTCAGGGGCCACACTTTTCACACACAAACTGAACTGGAGCCAGAGACCATGGAGCCCAGCCACGCCCATCAACACTTCCTGTTTGGAGCGCCACGGTGGAGGTGGAGGCGGCGGCGGCGGCGGCGGCGGCGGCTCGTACGCGGTCTGTTCTGCCTCAGAGTGCAGCAGGTCTGGAGTGAAACAGAGACAGATGTTGGACAAAAACTCACCTGCGTCTCTTTGGAGATCGACTCCTCCTGCAAAACAACACTCGGTTAGGACTCTTAGAATCACTCTGACTAAAACAACACTGGAGAGGAGTGTTGGAGGAGGAGGAGGAGGAGTGTTGGAGGAGGAGTGTTGGAGGAGTGTTGGAGGAGGAGTGTTGGTGGAGGAGTTGGAGGAGTGTTGGAGGAGGAGTGTTGGTGGAGGAGTGTTGGTGGAGGAGTGTTGGAGGAGGAGGAGGAGTGTTGGTGGAGGAGTGTTGGAGGAGGAGTGTTGGTGGAGGAGTGTTGGTGGAGGAGTGTTGGAGGTGTATGTACCTCCGAGCGGCTGCGGCGGTATCTCGGCGACGGCGACCTGCGAGGACGATCACTGTCTCTGTAACCACGGCGATGAGGCTCAGGGCTCGCCACCCGCTCCATCTGAACCAAAAACAACTGTCAGGAGCAGAGCGGTGACAGGGGCAGAGCGGTGACAGGGGCAGAGCGGTGAGCAGCGGTGACAGGAGCAGAGCGGTGACAGGGGCAGAGAGCGGTGACAGAGCGGTGACAGGGGCAGACAGCGGCAGAGCGGTGACAGGGGCAGAGCGGTGACAGGGGCAGAGCGGTGACAGGGGCAGAGCAGGGGCAGAGCGGTGACAGGGGCAGAGCAGTGACAGGGGCAGAGCGGTGACAGGGGCAGCACCTTCTCGTCTGGGTCCTCCTCTTCTTCGCTGCTCTCCACTTCGTCCAGATCTTCCTCCAGAGCGCTGACCCTCGGCTCCAACATCTCAGCCTCCTCCAGAACCTGACGCTTCTGCACCACAGAACCAGAACTCAACCAGGACTAAAACTGGACTAAACCAGGGCTAAACCAGAACTGAACCAGAACTCAACCAGAACTGAAACTGGACTAAACCAGGACTAAAACTGGACTAAACCATGGCTAAACCAGAACTGAACCAGGACTAAACCAGGACTGAACCAGAACTGAACCAGGACTAAACTAACCGGACTAAACCAGAACTGAACCAGGACTAAAACTGGACTAAACCAGGACTAAACCAGGACTGGAGTTGTTGAGGTGTACGTGGTCATAGTCGGGTCAGACCTGGAGTCGGGGGAGGATGATGTCACAGACTCTCTCGGCGTGAAGCAGCTCGTCGATGAACTCGTCCACGTGCATCAGCTCGAACTCTGCAACACACCACACCGGTACTGCAACAAATACTACGGGTACTACGAATACTACGAATACTACGAATACTACGAATACTACGAACACTACGAGTCCTCGTGGCGGGGCTGGCACTGACCTCCGTTGCGGTTCTGGGTCTTGATTTTGCGGTAGTCGTTGTAGAGCGGCTCCAGATACTTGTAACAGTCGACCGCTGTTCCAGTCAGACGCATGTACATGGCCCCGAGCAGACGCACGTACCTGAGCACAGGGGTCAGGGGTCAGAGGTCAGGGGGGGTCAGAGGGTTTAGTTTGAGTCCAGTTCTTTGGTCTATCATGTTAAAGGTTGTATGGAGGATTTTTTTTGTTTCAAATTGTCAGTGATAGATTATAGATGCAGTCGCCTTGTAATTATGATGACCAAAAAAAGAGAATAAAAAGTTCATCAACTCTGGACGTGTTGGGGCTAAACATTTGCCAATAGATAACGACACTGCCTCGTTATCTGTGAGCTGACAGGCTGTCAATCAAACTCCCTACGTTTCTAGTGTAACTGACTTGTCTGCGCCGCCGGTACGTGGTTTACGTACGACTGTCATGCAGTCCACAGATGCAAGCCGCACAGACGCTGTTTACTCCACCAACGCAACAGTTCTTAGCGGCTTTTTTGACCTATATCTTCCTCGCAGTTCGCACAAAGTTTGTTGCGATGGCGACAAGAATCCAGGAGCAGTTCGCCGCAAAAGAAAGTCCGTTTTTGAGGTCGCTGAAAGAAGAAGACAAGGGGAAAAGCAGCGAAGACAAACTAAGGTGATTCTTGGAGATTCATTCCAGCGATGGTGCGACTGAAGCAGACGCAGGGTCTAAAGACTGAACCACTGGTCCACAAATTACTCCTGGACAGAAAACTTCTGCTTATTATGAAAACGTACTTTATTTCCAAGAGCGACACAAACGTTTTTCAGGACATGAATGTGATATCCTGTGTCTGAAAACGTCATTTTCAAGGCAAAGAAAGAGTCCACTTGCTGCTGCATGTTGTAGTAGTAGCTTCATTCGCAGTGAATCTCCACGCACCGCTCCCCTCTCCTCTCTCCCCTCTCCCCTCTCCCCTCTCCTCTCTCCTCTCTCCTCTCTCCCTCTCCCTCTCCCCTCCCTCTCCCTCTCTCTCTCCCTCTCCTCTCTCTCCTCTCTCCTCTCTCTCTCTCTCTCTCCCCTCTCTCCTCTCTCCTCTCTCCTCTCTCCTCTCTCCCCTCTCCCCTCTCCCTCTCCTCTCTCTCTCTCCTCTCTCCTCTCTCCTCTCTCTCCCTCTCTCCCTCTCCTCTCCTCTCTCCCCTCTCCCCTCTCCTCTATCCTCTATCCTCTATCCTGGCTCCGTTCTTCTCCCTGCTCCTCACTTCTCCGTCTTGCCTAACCAACACTGTAGTTAGTTGTTTACAAGTCATGTGCAGCACCGGCTGTAAACAAACCTGTTTGTGGCGTAAGGAGGAGGCGGGAGGAGGTGTTTCTACGTAGGAGCTGTAGGGGAGGGGGGGTGGTTTCACGCAGGAGCAACATTTGAAAAAGGACAAACAGTCGCTGGATTTCTCGTTCCTTGGAAAATCCTCTATACAACCTTTAATGACTATAGTCGAGTTTGAGCTGATGTCGTTGTTATTAAAAGTCCGCGTTGCTGCTGGGAAATATTCTGGTCGGAGGCAGAAACACGGTAGCGTCAAACACAGTGTGTAACCTCCTGTATTTCTCCTCGATAATGGTAAATTCCTGCTGCATTATCGGACGCACAAATAGAAGCACGGAAGAAGGAAAATGTCTTTTTCGTATTCTGAGTGAAACGAACCGCTGACGGTGAATTAAACGACTTTCAAACATCCGCAGAGCAAACGTAGAAGATCCTAACAAACCGTGGACTCAACAAGTTCAACAACACATCCAGACTCTTGGAGGTTTTCATCTTTTCTGCTGTGAATGGCCCAGGAGTTTCCACCAAGTCATTGTGGATGTCGCCCAAGTGAATATTTCTCCAGGTAGTTGGTGATTCAGACCAGAAATTTTATTTGGTCCAGGCTCTGTCGGGGTTGAAAAGGGTGATTTGTCGTCCGTCGATGTTTATGACCAATTTGTGGTCAAATGGTCTTGGGTCCTCTGCTGTTAGAGTGGAGAAATAACCGGGATCAATACCCTTTACGTTCTTTCTCACTCCGTCCGTCATGTTCAATTAGTGTTTCTTGCCGCTGACCAAAATAATTCCCAGCATGCAACGCACTTTTGTCAACAATGAAACTCTCCTGTAGTGACTTATTGTTAAAAACATTTGAGAGAATTACACGAGTTTCAATGTACGACACATTTGAAATGTACCGTGTGTGTTTAAATGTATTGCACATTTGAAATGTATTTGAAGTGTATTGCAGTCTAGTCCCAGGTCCAGTCCCAGGTCCAGTCCCCGTCCAGTCCAGGTCCAGTCCCCGGTCCAGTCCCCGGTCCAGTCCCCGGTCCAGACCCAGGTCCAGACCCAGGTCCAGTCCCCGGTCCAGGTCCCAGTCCTTTCCCAGTCCAGACCCCAGTCCAGTCCCCGGTCCAGACCCCAGTCCAGTCCCCAGTCCTCACTTGAAGTCCTCGTTCTTGATGAACTCCACGATGATGTCTTTCTCTGGTTGGATCTGCAGCATCTTCAGCGTCAGACACAGAAACGGCGTCGGTTTGATGTTTCCTCCAAACACTCCGCCCACGAACTTCAGCTCCATGGCCTTGTCCACCACCAGCTCCGCTAAAAACACCAGAGAACATCACAAACTTCAGCTCTATGACCTCGTCCACCACCAGCTCCACTAAAAACCAGAGGAAGTCAAGTACGGTCAGAGGTCAGAGGTCAGAGAAGAAACTACGAAGGAAGTGTCAAAGTGACGCTCCAGGTTCTACAACAACGGCATCAACAAAACAAACACCACCAGATTAACGTCTAGTCCAGGGGTCGGCTCCAGAGCCACATGTGGCTCTTTAGCTCTCCCCTAGTGGCTCCCTGGAGCTTTTTCAAAAATGAGTGAAAATGGAAAAGGAATTATTTTTGTTGTTGTTGTTTTAATCTGGTTTGTTTAGGGGTAAAACCCTCGTTCATCTGCTCATGGATCTGATCCATCAGCTGTGTGTGAATGAAACACATGAAAAATTAAATAGATGAGCTGAAGCAGGGGGTGGTGTCCACCTCTACCTGAGAAGAACTTTCCCCCCAACAAAAACAAAAAAACACATGCGCAGCCGGACGCTCAGAACAACATAACGAACCAAACCGGATTCACGCTTCTGTCCGGATGCTGCTCCACCTCAGAACCAGCCGCGGTCGAGCGTGGAGGACCAGAGCAGCCGGACCTGTGGTCCACAGAACATTCTCACTTTTCTCGCACGGAACCAGTGCACAGATGACGGTACTGAAGCACTTGGACCCAGTTCTTTGTGCTGGTCTTACTTCATCTCCGTCTGGAACCAGGACATGAAGGACGAAGCCTCTGGACCATCTGACCAACACTGGACCCTCAGCCCCGTTTCGAGGAGCTGCTCCTGTGTGTTTCTGCTGCTGAGCTCAGAGCTTCTGCTCCGGGCTGATGTTGTGTACAAAGTTCTCCATGCTGCTGTTTTCTGAGTGCTCCTGCACGATCAGAAGAAATGCGACTGCTGCTCTGAATACTTCCATCATCGTCGTCATAGCAACAGGTAAACGTCGGTGGCACTTTCAGCGCGTCGGCTCCTAAAACTCTGTTTATCTCAGTTTACACACAAACGTGAAACTGGAGTTTTCCAAAATCTCCACTCCAGCCGGAGTTTTTAGAAAGATTCGTTTTCAGAGGCGAATTAACATGTAAATGATGTGAACAAACGAAGGGAAATGTCTCTGTTTTTAAAAATCCCTGTGTACGTGTAAACGAGGCCTAAATGACAAAGGAATAAACACGAACCACCTGATTTCAGTGTCTACAGACGGAGCAGCGAGTGTGAGAGGGTCACAGAGGGTTTGTGGATCATGAATGTTCATGTTGTATTTGTAGTTGACTTAGTCATTTTAATAGTGGGTTTATACAGCTCACATACTGACAGCCTGTGTCGCCTTCATATGAGGCTTATATATATATATAATATATATATATATATATATATATATATATATATATATATATATATATATATATATATATATATATATATATATATATATATATATATATATATATATATATATATATATATATAGGGCTCCAGGCAGGTCTGGGTTTTGTTTTTTTGGGCCAATATGGCTCTTTGAACATTTTGGGTTGCCGACCCCTGGTCTAGAGTCCTAGTTAAGACCTGATGTAGACCTGGTTTAGTCTTAGTTTAGTCCTGGTTGGTCCAAAACAGGGACACTGGGACATTTCTTTTATAAAACTGTGGGAAAATCAGTGGTTTTGTATAAATCTGCTGGACCACTTCAGCCGAACAGAACCCGGAACCTGATCCCGGGCGGTCCTGGTTCTGGTTCTGAATGAGCCGCCGTTAGCCGCCGTGAGCCGCCGTTAGTATTTACCGGTCAAACCGAAGCATTCTTCTTTCCAGTATTTGGACTCGTAAATGCGCGTCCGGATGATCTTCTCCACCAGGTACTGCGGGTTTGTGCCGTGGATGCTGTTCGCGTCCTTCACGGTTCTGTTCGCCATTTTACACCAACAAAAAAAAACACAAAACAAAACTGAAATTTGTGTCAATTAAACCTTTAGCTTTAGCACAAAAACAGCAGCCCGTGCGCCGCTGCTGCCGACTTCCGCCGGAACCGGAAACGCCTCGTCTCAGATCATTTTTTATTTTTATTTATTTATTTTTTTGTGTGTGTGTGTTGATTGTATTTGTATTATTGCATCCTCATAATCTTTTTTATTTATTTATTTTATTAATGTATTAATTTATTACACACAGTTGGATGCATAAACGTGATCCAACAAACATCGTCAGGAGTTAAATGTCGAAATGACGGAACAGAAACACGAGATATTATACAGTAACAAAAATACTAAACAATAATAATAAAACGACATTAAAAAAGTGCATTTAGGAAGAGAAAAACAATGACAACGAGGAGAGTAGAGTCCATAAAGTCCAAGGGAAGTTCACATATTTAGGAAAACACTTTTTGAGCTTTTCGTCCCTCAGATATAAAAGTTGTTGTCATTTTTATTTGGGTGTGAGACAAAACAAATGTACAATGACTTTCATAGAACTTCTTTTAAGAACATGCCCAGCTCTAATAATCAGTGTACGAAAATGAAAACAAACTCTAAATTAGTTAAGTTACCGATTTATCCAAAAGTGAAGCAGACTCATTTTTAAATGATAAACAATATCTACTCTGCGGGCCTGTTTCTTAAAAGAAGATTTACATTTGAGGTTGAATTTTGTATTTTTTTTTTTATATAATTCAGGAGAAGATGATTCGTTTTTTGCATGTCCTCTCAGGTGTTCAGGTCAAACATCAGAAACGAGCTAAATCTAAAGTGAAAATCCTCACATCTAAGACTTCTCACGTTTAATTTTATGGACAATTTGGATTCTTCTACAGAAATGGCTATAAATATTGTTTTGCTTTAGGCACAATATTATATTAATTGCAGCAAATGGAGCCGAAATAAACTCTCCTTTTTTTATGAACGAGTTTAAATTGTATTATTGCTTCCTGACCACACTGAAAATTGGAAATCTACTAAAACACCTCAAACACCTCAAACACCTCAAACATCTCCCTCCTGATGCCAGGAAAATGCTCCAGGTGAAAATATAATGTATTTATTTTGTGTTTGACATAGAACGATATATTTTTATTTTGGGACGCCCCCTGGCGTGTTTACTTGTCCACTACAAGAGTTTGTATGTTTATGTTCTAATAAATATTTTTAAAAGACTTCATTTTTATAATTATACTTTTTATTATTATCATAATTTTTTTTCATAATGCCGCGTTTATTGGTTTGAAGAGTGAATATTTATTGTTTTATAATTATTTTATTTGTTTTATCGTTATTTTAATAGTTTTTATCATCATTTTATCATTATTTTAATGATTTTATCGTTATTTTAGAAGCGCTGCTGCGTCATCTGTGTCCTTCGCTGTGATTGGTCCGCGGGTTAAACGGAAGTGACGTTCGTACCGCGGGAAACCCTCGGTGCTTCGTGGTGTTTGTTCAGTTTGTTCACTTTGGGTTTTTAATCTTTTCTTTTTGTTTTTTTCCGGGCGGATTTTTGTGTTTCAGTCCGTGAAAAGCGTGGGGCCGTGTGTCTGCGCTGCTCCCGGGTCCCTCCCCGTGTGTCTGGGCTGTTTTTTGGTCTGTTTTTGGTCTGTTTTTGGGGTTTTTATGATGAAGTTCTCGTCCCGGCTCAGACCGCGCCGGTGGGTCGAGTGGACCGGGAGGCCGCTCGGGTTCGACCGCAAACTCCGGACGCACGAATACGGGCAAGTACCGCACATCTGCGCAAAAACTAAAAAACACACCACAGAGACGTGCCCGGTTTGTGGCGGTTCGTAATAATAAAATAATGAAGCGAGTGTGAGGTTAAAGAACCGAACTGTTCTGCAGAGACGAACAGAACCAACATGAGTCATTATCGTCACATTTTCTTCATGTTTTGTTCGTTTTTAATCAGATTTTCTGTATTTTACTCAAACAAAAGTCAGTTTTTGTTTCTTTACTGTTGGCAGGGATCACAGCAGTAAAACCTGGGACCAGAGCTGGGACTTACAGGTCGTGACTTGGACTCGAGTCAGACTTGAGTCACTGTTTTTCGGACTTGAGACTTGACTTGATAGAATGGACCAAGACTTGGGACTTGACTCGGGACTTGAGGTCAGTGACTTGGGACTTGACTCGGGACTTGAGGCCTGTGACTTGGGACTTGACTTGAGTTTGTTTTGTTCTGACCGTGATGATTCAGTCTGACACAGACGAGTCAAACTCAAACTCACCGAGGCCAAAGGGCAAAACTAAATATTTATTGAAACATTTCAACAACATCTGCAGGTTTTCTCTTTTTTGAGATGTGTAATGTTAAACCTTTTCTTATTCAAATTAAAGTTAAATAATAGTTTTGCTTAAACATTGAATCCAGAACAAAGAGAAAATAAAATAATAACATTTTAAATAAATCGTGTCTCTAGAGTCGGTCTGTGTGCGGCGGCAGCTCTGATACAGATTTGATATGATCTTGAGGGACAAATATAATTATATTCTGGGCCAAATTTGGCCCCCGGGCCTGAGTTTGACATGTCTGCTCTTGTCAGGATATTTAAAAAAGAAAAACTGCATTTGTCCAACTCTAATGTTCTCAAATATAAATATACTGGGACTTGGTTTAAACACTTGAAATGACTTGAAGTTCACAGCAGACGACTTGGACTCGACTTGGACTCGACTTGGACTCGAACTATCAAAACGTGGACTTGGTCCCACCTCTGCCTCAGACATTTCTTGTTTGAAACTGGAACAACATTTATGTATTTATTTATTTATTAATGTATTTATTTATTGATCGTGGGGTTAGGGTTAGGGTTAGCGTGCTCACTGACGGGGTTCACTGTGTGGATGTCTCTGTTCAAAAGTTACAGCCACATTATTCACACTGGACATGACTGAAACGCCCACAGTCCCACAGGTTTAGCTCCAGTTCCTCCTCGGTTATGTTCTGATGTTCTGACGTTCTGATGTTCTTGTGTTCTTGATGACGTTCTGATGTTCTTGATGATGATCTGATGTTCTTGTGTTCTTGATGATGTTCTTGTGTTCTTGATGATGTTCTGATGTTCTTGTGTTCTTGATGATGTTCTTGTGTTCTTGATGACGTTCTGACGTTCTGATGTTCTTGTGTTCTTGATGATGTTCTTGTGTTCTTGATGACGTTCTGATGTTCTGATGTTCTTGTGTTCTTGATGATGTTCTTGTGTTCTTGATGACGTTCTGATGTTCTTGATGATGATCTGATGTTCTTGTGTTCTTGATGATGTTCTGACGTTCTGATGTTCTTGTGTTCTTGATGATGTTCTTGTGTTCTTGATGACGTTCTGATGTTCTTGATGACGTTCTGATGTTCTTGTGTTGTTGACGCGGCGTCTCCAGGGGTCTGTCGATCCGGGTGGAGGGTCTCCCCAGGGTCACGCACGTCTCCGTGGGGCAGCACATTCTGATCGAAGGACACGATGAGGACCATCCGTACGTGGCCAAAGTCCTCAAGCTCCTGGAAGACGGTCAGTCCCCCTGTCACACCTGTCGCACCTGTCGCACCTGTCAGAGTTCTGAACAGGGCTGTGTCAGAACTGCACACTCCTTCTGAGGCTGTGTCGTCTTTAAACCAGAGATGTTTCTCCTCAGATGTTTCTCCATGTTCTAGTCGTTTCTCCTCAGATGTTTCTCCTCAGATGTTTCTTCTCAGATGTTTCTCCTCAGATGTTTCTCTGTGTTCTAGTCGTTTCTCTTCAGATGTTTCTCCATGTTCTAGTCGTCTTTCCTCAGATGTTTCTCCATGTTCTGGTCGTTTCTCCTCAGATGTTTCTCCATGTTCTAGTCGTTTCTCCTCAGATGTTTCTCCTCAGATGTTTCTCCTCAGATGTTTCTTCTCAGATGTTTCTTCTCAGATTTTTCTCTTCTCAGATGTTTCTTCTCAGATGTTTCTTCTCAGATGTTTCTTCTCAGATGTTTCTTCTCAGATGTTTCTCCTCAGATGTTTCTCTGTGTTCTAGTCGTTTCTCCTCAGATGTTTCTCCATGTTCTACTTGTTTCTCCTCAGATGTTTCTCCATGTTCTACTTGTTTCTCCTCAGATATTTCTCCATGTTCTAGTCGTCTTTCCTCAGATGTTTCTCCATGTTCTGGTCGTTTCTCCTCAGATGTTTCTCCTCAGATGTTTCTCCATGTTCTAGTCGTCTTTCCTCAGATGTTTCTCCATGTTCTAGTAGTTTCTCCTTTCTGACCGTCTGAAGTTGTGTTTGGAGTGATTTGTGTCTGAGGACTCGTCCGTCTCGTGTTTGGTTTGTGTCTTCAGAGGTCGGGAGGGAGAAGAAGGTCCTGGTGCAGTGGTTCGTGCGCGTGTCTGAGATTCCTCTGAACAAACTGAAGCTGCTGGGACGAGAGCCGCACCCCAACGAGGTCTTTTATTATGAAGGAACCAACTGTGACAACGAGGTCAGCGCCGAGTCCATCCTGAGACTCGCCAAGGTCAGACACTCTAAAGGTCATTTTCCAGGCCTGGAAAAGTCCTGGGATTTGAGTCTGTCTTTCCCACAGCTCCAGGGTTGTGTTCAGTTCTCATGAGTTTGTTCTGATGATTTCTGAACGTCTAATAAATAAATAAACTGACAGGATTTAGAACTTTCAAAACTAGAATCACAAACCAGAAGGTGAGAAGAAAGATTTAATGTTTCAGATTTACACTAAAACTCTGATCAGTTCTACACATGGAGGTGCTGGAAAGTCATGGAAAGTCATGGAACATTCACTGTAGTCAGGAAAAAGTCATGGAAAAGTTGGGACATTTTGTCAGTGAAAAAGAGGGAAGCCTGCTGGTCCCAGCCCGGTCTCGGGTCTCGGGTCTCGGGTCTCGGGTCTCGGGTCTCGGGTCTCCGGTCTCCGGTCTCCGGTCTCCGGTCTCCGGTCTCCGGTCTCCAGTCCGTGGTCTGGTCTAACCTTAGTCTTGTGTCTCAGGTGGTGCAGGTGCAAGGCTCCGCCCCCTTCCCCGCGGGCGCCGCAGACGCAGACACGTTCTTCGTGAAGTTGTCGTGGACGTCTCGTTCTTTCAGAGTGTTGTCTGAGGCGGAGCGCTCTCCCTCTCCCCGAGCCGCCTCCCTGCCCCCCTCCCCCCTCCCTCCGTCCTCTCTGCGCACGCCCCCTGGCTCCGCCCTCTGCTCCCCCGACTCCGCCTCCTCCTCTCCGGCCCCTCCCTCCTCTCCCAACGGCCCCGCCCCCCCGGCGCGGCGCCGTCTGCCCACGCCGGACCCCAATGTGCTGAAGAGGGCGTCGTCCGGCGTGACCGCGAGCGCCGCCAAACGCCGCGCTCAGGAGGCGGAGTCGCTGCACTCGGCCAATAAGATGTCTGCGTCCAAGAGTTTGAGCGCCAGGAGGCGGAGCTCTGCGGCGAGGACGCCCGGCGTGCGCAAGAAGCTCCAACTGTTTGGTGAGAGAGGGGCTCTTTCAGGTTCACTTCTGTCTCTGGTGGGGTTCTCTCTGGTTCTCTGGTGTTGTTCTCTGGTGTTGTTCTCTGGTGTTGTTCTCTGGTGTTGTTCTCTGGTGTTGTTCTCTGGTGTTGTTCTCTGGTGTTGTTCTCTGGTGTTGTTCTCTGGTGGTTGTTCTCTGGTGGTGTTCTCTGTGGTTCTCTGTGGTTCTCTGTGGTTCTCTGCCGTCTTGAGGCTCCTCTGTGTTTTTAAAGTGTCTGTTGTGTGTCAGCTCCAGAGGACGGGCGTCTGGAGTCTGAGCTGGATGAGCTTTTGGCCGAGGACCTTCAGACTGAGGGAGTCCAGACTCTGTCCCCACCACGACCTGTGACCCCTGTGACCTCTGTGACCCCACGGCGCCGCCCCGCCCCCCTGGAGGAAGAGGAGGAGGAGGAGGAGGAGATGAAGATGAAGTTGCCCTGTGTGAAGGTCAAACGCATGTCTCTGCCCCACGATGAGTCGCCCTCCTCCACCAGGTCACTGTTTCATACCAACACTAACAGTAGTAGTAGTAGTACTGTAGTAGTAGTTGTAGTAGTTGTAGTAGTAGTAGTAGTACTGTAGTACTGTAGTAGTAGTACTGTAGTAGTAGTAGTAGTTATAACAGGTCAGTTTTGTTTGTTGTGCAGTTTTCAGTAGGGGTGTGCAAAAATATCAAAATATCGATATATCGTATCGCTTAATGTGATGATACAGTATCAATATCATGGGCTATTGTATCGATATATCGCCAAGAGTATTTTTTTAAATGTATTTTACTAAATTCTTTAGTTCCAGAGCTACAGTTTTGATGATTAAAATGGTTGAGTTTCAGAAGAAGTGGTTTAACAAAGACTTTCAGTATCACAGTCATGATTTAGACTTTATTTTTAATGAACGGCGTCGACTCAATTTGAAATATATCGTATTGAATCGAAAGTGCACTGTATCAAGATGTATCGTATCGTGGCCTATGTATCGAGGTATGTATCGTATCGGTGACTTCTTAATGATCCCAGCCCCAGTTTTCAGGTTGAGCTTCAGACTCTTTCAGATTCTTTTGAACGTTCAGACTCAGACTCCTAAATATTCAAATATAAAAACTGAAGAAAGTTGTGATTTTGGTTTAGAGGAAATAAACCCTGTTCAGTCTCTGCTCTGGTATCGGTCAGTATCGGGTATTGGGTATTGGCAGATATTGGCAGATATTTACAGCTGTAGTATCTGAATTAGAACTGCAACGAATCAGTGTTGACTTGGACAATACATGAACGACTGTAGAGACGCGTGGACGCACCTGTCCAGGTCTCGGTTTAACCCGGTGTGGTCCTGTCCGTTCAGGCGAGGGTCTCGGTCCAGGTCCAGGTCTCGGTCTAACCCTTTGCGGTCCTGTCCGTTCAGGCGAGGGTCTTGGTCTCGGTCCTGGTCTTGGTCCAGGTCTCGGTCTAACCCTTTGCGGTCCTGTCCGTTCAGGCGAAGGTCTCGGTCTCGGTCCTGGTCTTGGTCTTGGTCCTGGTCCAGGTCCAGGTCCAGGTCTCGGTCTAACCCTTTGTGGTCTTGTCCGTTCAGGCGAGGGTCGGAGCACAGTCCGGAGCAGGCGGACTCTGAGGAGGCGGAGTTACCTCAGTCCGTGAAGACTCCGAGTAAACACACGCCCGGGAGGAGCGGCGCCCCCCGCGGGCAGGTCAGGTGAGTCCTGCGGCGCTCGGCATTCTGGGACACGGAGTTTGTTCTGTTTAAATCACAATGTCACGTTTCCTTTTTGTGTGAAACAGAACGACGACTCCATCCAGAAAACGAGACGCAAAAACTCTGAAGGAACCTGCGCTCGCCGTCCTGTGAGTCACACTCAGACAGAAGAAGAAGAAGAGGAAGAGAGGAGGAGGAGAGAGGAGGAGAGGAGAGGAAGAGGGAGAGAGGAGGAAGAGGGAGAGCGGATGAGGAAGCGGGAGAGAGGAGAAGGAAGGGAGGAGGAAGAGGAGAAAGAGAGAAGAGGAGAGGAGAAGAAGGAAGAGAAGGAGATGGAGGAAGAGGAGGAGTATTAACTGTGTCGTGTTTGTTTCAGGCCTGAGGTGGATAATGAGAATTCTCCGATGTTTCCCGTCGCTCCTCGAAGCTCCAAGAGGAAATCTGCCCAAAGAGTGTCCTCCAGAATCAAGACGCAGATGTGAGTCCTGCTCCTGGTCCTGGTCCGGTCCCGGTTTCAGACCCTGGTTTGTTCCTGGTTCAGTCCCGTTTTTTCTCTTTCAGGATGACGTTGGATCTGGAGTCAGACTCGGGGGAGGAGTTTGTCCCTCAGGAGGAGGAGCAGAGCGATGAAGAGGAGGAGGAGGAGGAGGAGATGAGGAGAGGACGAAGAGGAAACGTCACGACTCCTCGATCTGCTGTGAGAACCTGCTCCAGGACGCCCCGAAAAACCCCCCGCAAGGTCAGACCCCGGGGTTTGTTTGTGTCAGATTAAAGCTTCACTCTGTAACTTTTCCAGTGGGGACTTTGCCTCTCGCTCGTTTCCATGGAGACATGTGTGTGTCTAGAATATTCCACACTGTGACTTTAAACAGATGAGTCCTGCTGTGGTTGTTTCTCTGGGTGTTTCTGACGCACTCGTCCAACTTCTCATTTCCAACACCGATATCGATACTGCGGCTGTGAGCTGATACCGATACTCGCCGATATCAGGGCGAGTCTCGTGTGTCACAGGTCTCCTCCAAAACTCTCACAACTAAAAGAATCTGTTGAATCTTTTTTAAATATTGTCTTTGTTAAAGGGACAAAGTCTGGAGGTTTGGACGTGGAGCCTGGGCCTGTCACCATAATCAGTAAATCAATTAATCGTACCATAACGTTTAACGAGCTCAATCACTTTTCCGGCCGCGATAAATTCTATTTGCAGCTTGTTTGTTTTCCTCGCTCTCTGTCGCTCCCAGAGACTAAATGTTAGAAGTTTCTGTGGCTCTGACTCGTCTTGTTTAACAAGTGGAATGAGGTTTGAACCATCGTGTGTGAGTTTATCGACACAGTGGACGTGCGTCTGGTCTGAAAACACCACTGTCTGTGCAGTTTAACATGAAGCTGCAACAAAACAGTTCATCACCGAGAGACAAAACATGTCACAATGTCGAATCAACACTGGTGAGTGTTACCCCCAATTCACACCAAAGCTGCACGGCGCATAAGTGCAGCAGCTCAGCACACGAGCAGCAGACGCTCTGTTCAACTCCACTTGAACCGGTCTGACAGTGGAACACCGACAGAGTCTCACACGTCCAACGAGCGTCTGACGCTGACGCTGCTCCAGAGGTTGGAGTTCCAATTTTGCATCGTCAACGACGCGTCTCCAAGGTTTTTAGCAGGAGAAAGACAGGAAATAAACACACAGTATCAAAATAAACTTCTGATGCCCTTTCAAAATAATTTAACCAAAGTCAAGACAACAACGTAAACAACGCGCACGTGATTTACGATGTCAGACACCAATTCTACAGGGACTCAGGACTAAACCAGGACTAAACCAGGACTAAACCAGGACTAAACCAGGACTAAACCAGGACTAAACCAGGACTAAACCAGGACTCACTGCCGAAGTGTCCGCGGGCGAAAGGACCGGTGCAGAGCTCGGAGAAGAGGTACGTGCAGCCGTCGGGCTTTTCGGACACCTGCTCCGCGGGGCTCAGGGTTCGCTATCTCTCTCTCCAAGATTAGACCTGGTTTAGACCTGGTTTAGACCGGATTTAGTGATGGTTTAGACCTGGTTTAGACCTGAATTAGTCCTGACTTAGTCCTGACCCGCCCTTAAAATTCCAGAACGTTAAAACTCGCCCGTTTCAGGGACTATTTGCCCGTATCCATCGGTGCAGGACTCTGTATCCACATATAAACGTATCGGCGTTATTACCTGGATGGACATAAGATTTTAATCACACTCATAATGTTTGTTAATTATACGTGATTTTACCTTATTAAAGAAAAAAAACTGAGGTGTTTAATGTGCGTGTTAATAGATTTAAACCTCATTAAACACAAATGCATTGCAGTTGTACTTAATTCACAAACACTTAATACACGTTCTAACTTAATACACTTTAACATAAAATAAATGATAAAAAGCAAATACAAAATGTGACGTGTGAAAACAGTGAAGATGTGCAGCTGCAGCAGGAGCAGCTCTGACTCTGGTGTGAAATGAAACTTTGAAATTGACGCGTACGCGCAGCTCCACCTACGTTAAGCGCCGCTGCAGCTCCTGGTGTGAATTCGGGGTGACACGTCTCAACAGACACGTGGGTCAAACACAGAGAAACACAAACGACGAGAAGAAACATCTCAAACCTCAACAGACGATATAAACCATGGATCTATTCAAATAACGATAAACGATAAACTCAAACCCCAGCGACACAACACTTCATCAACACAGACACAGACAGAGTTCATGTTCACGTTCACGTTCACGTTCACGTTCACGTTCACGTTCACCCAGAGTCTGAGTGTGTTGATGAACCTGAGCACTACGTCTCTCTCCTTCATGTGACGAGTCTGTGGTGTCGCCCCAGTTTTCCCATGGAGACTAATCAGTTGTGACCCCTGACCCCGTCTGTGTGTGTCCTGTGTGACCTCAGGTGACCCCGAGCACGCCCAAAACTCCACGTCACGCCACGCCCAGTATCCCCGCCAGGAGCGCACCTGCCAAGACACCTGCCAACGCTCTGGAAGAGGCACGAGCAAGGTACTACAAATACTACTACTACTACTACAGATACATTGGGTCTGGTCAAGTGTTAACGGAGGAAACGGTCAGATTTTGGACATTCAAATGTCTCTTATTCAGAAACTAGAGGAACTATTAAAATAAGTAAAGTATCAGAATGTAGGAAAGAGTTACACTCCAACAGGGTCAAGTTAAACCTGTGAGATTCTTTCAAGTTCAAGACAAAAAATGTAAAAACTCATGTCGGTAACAGAGGGAATGAAATATGCAGCACTTTTTGGTCAATAAATCCAAACAGTGATAACTCTTGGTTCTCACTTCCATATCCTTAACAAACTGGTTTGAATATTTGCTTCATATAGTTTTCTACCATATGGTACAAGATTAGGTTGAAAAACCTCTGACTTTTTGACTCATGAGATTTTTTATTAAGAAAGGTCATGGTAACGGAGGGAAAATTGTACAAACAAGTAGAAGGTGCAGGATTTTACATCATTTGTCACTTTTTTCTTCTGAATACTTTAATATTACTTCAAAATGAAAGAAACTATTTCTATAAAATGTCAGTCCTTCCAAGAACATTTTTATCATTTTAAATACTTTTTTTTTTTTAATCATGTCCCTTTATCAACAGTTCAAAGATAATTTTTGTTCCATGTTTCATTCATGGTCTGTTTAAAACGGATGGAACTTTAGAACCAAAAATGGAACAGAAAAAAGGTGAACAGTTTGATAAACTCGAGTACATATGTATCTGTTCAATACACTTTTATATCAGATGAATTCACTGGAAGTTTTGACCTTGTTGTTTACTTCTGTTTGACCGAGACCAAATATCACAAATACCACAGGCGCTACTGCAGTACTACTACTACTGCAGTACTACTACTACTGCAGTACTACTACTACTGCAGTACTACTACTACAGATATTACCATAGACACTTGTAAAGATACTATAAAACCTGCACATTTATGTGTGTGTCTCTGTGTGTGATTGTGTGTGTTTGTGCGTTCTGTGTGTGTATATTATTGTGCGTTTTGTGTGATTGTATGTTTGTGTGGATAATTGTGCGTTGTGTGTGTGTGTGATTGTGCGTTGTGTGTGTGTGTGTGTGTGTTGTGTGTTGTGTGTTGTTGTGCGTGTGTGTGTGTGTGTGTGTATAATTGTGTGTTGTGTGTGTGTATAATTGTGCGTTGTGTGTGTGTGTGGTGTGTGTTGTGTGTTGTGTGTGTGTGTGTTGTGCGTGTTTAATTGTGTGTGTGTGTGTGTGTTAATTGTGCGTTGTGGTGTGTGTGTGTATAATTGTGTTGTGTGTGTGTGTGTATATGATTGTGCGTTGTGTGTGTGTAATTGTGCGTTGTGTGTGTAATTGTGCGTTGTGTGTGTGTGTGTGTGTGTGTGTGTGTGTGTGTATAATTGTGCGTTGTGTGTGTGTGTGTATAATTGTGTGTTGTGTGTGTGTGTGTGTGTGTGTGTTATAATTGTGCGTGTGTGTGTGTGTGTATAATTGTGCGTTGTGTGTGTGTGTGTGTAATTGTGCTGTGTGTGTGTGTTGTGTGTGTGTGTGTTGTGTGTGTGTATAATGTGTGTGTGTGTGTGTGTGTGTGTGTGTGTATAATTGTGCGTTGTGTGTGTGTGTGTATAATTGTGCGTTGTGTGTGTGTATAATTGTGCGTTGTGTGTGTGTGTGTGTGTGTGTGTGTGTATATTGTGCGTTGTGTGTGTGTAATTGTGTGTGTGTGTGTGTGTGTGTAATTGTGCGTTGTGTGTGTGTGTATAATTGTGCGTTGTGTGTGTGTGTGTATAATTGTGCGTGTTGTGTGTGTGTGTGTGTGTTGTGTGTAATGTGTGCGTGTGTGTGTGTGTGT